ATCTATCTATCTATCTATCTATCTATCAGCAAAGGTAATGTGAAGGATAATGAAATGGGATTAGGAGACTGAGGAGCAGATCAATGGTTGTTAATGCTTTATATGTCCTCAGTGTCTCTTGGAGGATGGAGCTTGATGCCCCAATTTTTATTAAAGTTAGTAAAAAAAAAAACAGATTTGAGAAGATACACCATGCTGCAAATATTTTGCACCAATACATATTTGGATTCATACTTTTTTATTGTCACTATTTTGTCCAAATCTAAACATTTCTTTTGGGTCACTTAGAGTTGTCTGTCCTCTTCTGTCCTAATCCAATAAACTTGTCCCGTGGATATTTTTCTTTTCTTTTTTCCCCAGATTTAATAAGCTTCACGCAGCTCTTCTGATTTGTTTGATGTCACCGCTAGCAACCGAGACGCCCCCCTTCAACAACTCCCCTTTATATTTAGTTTGATTTCTTTATCTTTGTGTTTAAATTATGGAAGAGCACAGCCCAATAAAGTCATTTCAGTCATGTATGCAATATCAGGGTAATCAAACTAAGTTAATATATCGTACAGAGCATATAGTAAGTTATAATTTCTTTTGAAGTGACTTTGAAGTGGAAGTGGCTCTGAGTGTTGCTGGCTTTGGTGTGTAAATGAGCTGAGTTGTCTTTCATCTCTTCAGCTCTGACAACCAGACCCCCTCGTCCTTCGTATCCTAATTCATCATTTCACACTCAAATTAATGAAGGCAACAAAAACGAATGAATTCATTCAAATGTCGCTAATTCCTCTTGAACATCCTTGAAAGCCCGACCAGAAAAAAGCTCTGGACTGATGCTGTCAGCTCTGCCATCTGCAGAAGGCCTCCATGAGGCTGCTGCAAGTTCCCCGAATCCTAAGCAGCTCGGTGTCACTCTTAGCACTATCAGGGACTCTGAAATTATACTATTAAATTATCACATAGAGAAATGATATACAATACAGATGTTTTACTGAATCCATATGTATCCCCTGATTTCTGCTGCTTCTGCCACACTGCTGAGATGTTTTTTTTTTGTTTTTTTAATGAACAGACACTGACTTGTCATGGACAGAGGGACATGGACAAGCATGGCAGGTCCTGTTAGCAGCGTTCCCATAGCAACCCTCTGTACAGCACTCACAGATGTCCCCAGCGGTGTCAAAATGGCTATTTTGGAATTTAGTTAGGTCAAACCTAAAAAAGGCATTCATCTGCCTCAGCAAAGTGGCCACAAATGCCACGACATTGGAAATCTGATGAAAATTTTACATGTGCACGTGTTCCGCTGCATGTGTGTGTTGGTCTTTGTTCTCTGTTCATTCATCACGCCCTTTTGGGAGGGAGTCCATTTCCGCTGATTGCAAACGCTGACCCTTGGAAAGCCCTGCCCACTCTGTAGTTTTTCAGAGTGGCCTTCTGTTCAGAAACAGGGCGCTTAACTGTCAACTGGAGGACTGTTCACAAGTACACCCACACTGGTTTATCAGTGACTAATCTGAGGCCTTGCATAAATACAAATGTTTGTCTTTCCACACAGAAAACACATTGACTGTGACACAGGAACATTAAAATTTTGAAGCGCACATGTAAAAATGTTGGAATTGCACAAAGGTCGGCATGCACAATAGTGAAGTGGGTATCTAGTGTTGAGCTTACAGAGCAGCTTATAATATTAACTTCCAGTGGTAAATTCTCTCAACATTCATTGTCATAAATCTGACCATGAAACGTAGATGAAAATATTTCTTGATTTGTTGTTCATACTTCATAAACTTATTAAAAAAATGTTGGATTGTCAAATTGGAAGAAGGTAGAGCAAAAGCAAATGTGATTCAATGCAAAGAAAATATGTTTTCTGTTTTATATTAAGCCTTTGTATAAGCCCCACACAACTGAAGATGGAATAATCCTTCCCCCCACAGCATATCTTCTCCACCCCTGGCCAGATATATTCCACAGCAAGTGAAACTCTGACAGACGTGCAGAAAATATGGATTTGAAGAGTCAGTTGTACAATAGATGGGCTCAAAGTTTACAGGGGTGGGTTTGCACATGTTGGTATTAGTCTTTTAAAGTTCATATACTGCTCAGATGATGGCGTGAGGGATTTCAGTCAAAGATGGATGAATGAGAAGGAATCAATACATCTATGGATGTTTATTTTTGTTAATCAATAAAGCAAACCAGGTATGAAAATCAGTCAGCCATTTAAATGGAAGAATCAAAGAAGCAATGGATTTGCTCTGTATCCATGAAACTCATGTTGAGTGAATCCCATGCCGATTTCTGTTTATCTCCCATACTGTCAATCAGTTATCTATTATTCTTAATAGATCAAAAAGGCCCCACAAAAATCAATCACTCAACACGTCCATGCAAAGGGCAGATTTATTCACTTTATTTGAAAGTACAGGTGCAATATGTTTGAGAGCAAAACTTTTGTAGCTGTTTAATCAGAGCTAACTACAAAAATCAGCCAATGTGATGGCAGTTATTATTATTGTTGTTGTCATTTGTATGCAGGCATGCACAGAATGATTGGACATGTCAATGAAGTTGTCAGGAAAGGGTAACGATTTTGTTCACTATGTTGACTGAAATCAATTATCTTCTGTGGAGCATTCAATATTTTGAGGGACAAACGGCAAATGGCAACTTAAAGTCCTCTCTACCTGCATCGTGATCCAATACTCTGGACAAGAATTGTATGTCAATTTGTCCAACATTCACTTTTAGTTGAAGTTGACCCTGATAAATACATTTCACTCTGACATGGAAACGGATGATGATTGTGTAGGCAGAATTGTTTGCGCGCACGGACATGCAAAACATGTTATTAGCTTTGGTATGATAAGTGACATTAATGCATAATCTAATTTTAGTTTTAAACTTTGTTACAAATAAAGATGACCTCAAGAACAGCTAGGCCATAAAACATGTGTTTTACATCCCTGAGAAGAGAAATATGTTCACTGTATAAAAAAGGCTGATGTAAATCTTTGCACAAACCTTTGTCTACACTGCTTTAAGAGTTCGGGGAATATAGATTACATGGGTTGAAAGATTTCATGGTTTGTATGAGCACAGACCAGTGTTTTCTGGAGCTCTTGTGAAGGGAAAGAGGGCTCCAGAAACAACTTTTGTTCATCACAATCATAGAACTGGGTACAAAGCGTAGCTGGCAATGCCACAGGTGTTTCTGCCGTCGCGGATCATTCGCATGTAGCCGCCCTCCCCCCAGCTGCTTCCCCAACTAGGGAGAAAGAAAAGCAAAGATTGAGAAGTGGATTTATTCAGTAACGACTGTAGATGTAGAGCGTGATGTTCTTCGGGCTTGTGTGAGGCTGAGCAGACCTGTTTTTGATGATCCAGTAGTCTTGGCCGTCCTCTGATCCGTAGCCCACCAGCAGCACCGCGTGACTCAGATGGTTAGAGTTACAGTTGGGTTCCTCATAAATTCCTGTTAAGAAATGTCAAAGCAACACCACAGGTGAACAGGGTAAACGTGGAGGCACGCACATTTCCACCTGAAAAGTCTGATGAAACATTCTTATGGGTATAATATTATTGATGTTTTGATTTGGACGAATATTGAAGAAGAAAATAACCACCTAAATGTTGTATAATTTAACCCTACTAATTAAAAATCAGCACGTTGGAAGCCAACTGAACTGTGAATACCAAAATAAATGTTCTTTTCTAATTTGTGCTATCCTTAACGTGTCATTTCGGGAAAGGTGAAACCTGCAGAGAACCCAGCAGAGCAGAGCACCGCTGTGCAAATTTGACCTTTCATGTTGTGGTACTTTTCTTTATTGGAGATGTTATCAAATCTGCTGCAGGGAGTAAAATATCTATCAAAGAAACCCAAAGGAAATGACACTATGATTTTATCGACAGGTAACCTGAGCTGTAGAACAGGAAGCTTGAATGATCCGCATCCAGTGCTACAGTGATGGGGCCAATAGTGGCCACAGCGTCAGCCAGAGCCTGCTCGTCTCCCTTGGGTATGAACTTGTAGTCTTTGATGTGAGCAACCGCCAGCCTGCTGTCGTAGAAACAAGGCTGGGTGTCCTGTTGAGAGAAATAAAACGTGACCGCAGGGCTGGATTCCGAATCATTCCCAGTTTGACGGTTAGCTGAACCTCACCACTGAGGTGTACGGGTAGCTGTCCGTAGCCTGCAGCCCGTTGCTGACTACGTAGTCATAGGCGTTGGCCATCCAGGCACCGCTACAGCCATTGGTGCCGTACGGTTTGGAACAGTCCACCAGGTTTTGCTCGCTCAAAGAAACGAGCTGTCCCGTTCTCTTGTAGAGCTGTCCCTCTATGGCTCCGGTAGTACTGAAAGCCCAGCATGAGCCACAGTAGCCCTGGACACATGGGTTAGTGCACAGATCTGAGGGTGATCATCCATAGAGGAGCCACTTGAGAAACAGTCAGGATGGCTTACCTGGTCCTTAACCTCAGTGACATAACCCATGTTTCGGTAGTCCACAAACCAGATGTCTCGGTTCCTTGCATTGTAACGCAGCCTTCGAGCAGAGACCTCCTTCCCTCTCTTTGCGTACTGGGCGTTCATCATGGCTCCTTGCAAAACCCGGAATTCCTGTCTTGTCTACAAATGCAAAACAAAGGCAAGATTTTGCTCAAAATAAATCAAACGGATATTCAAACTTTTTCCCCAGTAATGATATCAATAGTTAGATGATACGTGAAGTCATCGGCTAGTTGGCCAATCTGTCTAAAATGGCAAAGAGAGGCATGCAGTGTGGAGCTGCCTAAAGGAGAGTAATCCCACCTACCTGCACATTTAGTCATAGATTTCACCCGATAAGTGTTGCTGTAAGAAAAAATGAAAGAACTCCTTACTAGGTCTCCGTATTTGTTCATTGCCATAGCAAATGATTTCCTCCCCATGAGGAACCCTTGATTGTGGTCCTCAATCTGTCGCTTATTATCCTCCCAAATGGACATCCTTTGCATGTCTTCCTGTCAGGACAAAACACATCAAACACAAACTTGAGTGAATGAGATTCCGGATGCCGTCTGCACGCTTCAAATGCAGCGAGTCTCACTCACTAATTCATCGTGGCTTATGCCGTGGCTGCTTTTCCAGATCTCCCATTCGGTCTGGACCACCTCATCCGAGTCCGACAGCGCGGGCTGCGGGCCCCACAGCAGGACGGAGATCACAACGGCTCTCATTAGAAAGCTGACCCGCTGGGCTGAAATAGCAGAGCATCACAGTGGACTCATTCTAGGTGTAATTGCGTGTCATATTGTAAAGATGACCCATTGCTCAGCATCAAAACAGAGTCTCAGCAAAACCTGAACTGTGTTAGCATCCAGGACTAATTCCAGCTCAGGTTATTTTCTCCCAGATCTACAGTGAAATTAAAACTGCACTCGACGCAAATAACATTAAATTACCTGATGCAATTTCATGACCTTAAAATACAGATGAAGAGACCTTGCAAGCTTACCAGCGCAGAGTTGAGTCTGTTTGGGGATCATGTTCTGGGAGCAACTCTGACCTGTAACACGGTCACAGTCTGTCAGCCTTCCTTATATAGCATCCCAGTAAATACATGTTTCTACTCAACTTTTTCTAAATCCCTAAATCAATGCTTCTGCCAGTACCTGAGAGGGGAATTAGACAACAAAAATAAGTTGCTCTCCCTGGTTCGACTTTCCAACCCCATGGTTATCATTTAGAAACAGCTAAAGCTGCAATATTGTAAGTCCTTCAAGCACTAGTTCACAACACCTGACATCAAACTTTCCAAAACCAGCGCTGAAAGAGGAACTTTGCTTCAGTAAAGTGACAGTATATTTAGGCAAAGCTACTGTATGCCCGGTAAAATTCTGTAATCAAGCTGCAGCTGAAATCAATTTTCATAGAACAATGTAGTTAAACATCAGTAAAAGCACACTGGCTGCACACAGAGTTTCTGAAAATGATAGCCGTGCATCAGTACAAGACTGCTACTGACACTGGATTTAACCATTTAATATCCCAGTTTCAAACTGGAAATGAGCTGAGAACAAATGTTAAGGAAAAAACTTACTGAAGGCTAGCTATATAAGAGGTCTCCAATATAACTTACCACATGATGTTATATAATCATTGTAATCATGTGCTACATTTTTTAAATTGGAATAGAAGATTGTGGTTACAGTTAAGTAATTATTTTTTTGAATTTCTTTTATCCAACAGGCATTATATGTATGAGCATAAATTAAAGTAAATCTATGTGTATAATTAATTCAGCTATCTATAAACTACTTATAGAATTAGAACAAAAGGTATGGAAATAAATCCTTCCGCCACCAAACTTTTTCGTTGTTTCAAAAGGCATGTATCTTTAAACTGAAATTAAGGGAAAAGATACAGAATGACATTGCAGTTACATTTCTGTGAATTCACAAGGTGTGTCTATGAAGCAAATACCAAAATCGAGTTTTTGCAGTTCTGATGGTTCTGCTGCACCTGGTCGGTTGACAGGAAACGTGGTTCCAACCAAAAGCCCTAATATAGAATAATAGTGAGGATTCTGATTTATTTCAAGAAGATTAATACAATCAATGTGGGGAAAAGGGGTGTTGTGTATCACCCAGTGAGTTGTTACCCTCAAACCAGGGCAGATGGTGGTCATTAGCCCTCCTGTAAATCCACAAGAGTTCTAAAGGGGAAAATATGTCAAATTCAGAGTTTTTGGTGAAAAGATAATCCCTCAGAATACAAATGGATCTCTCCCCTGAAGACAACACGTTCAAATCAATATCTGTGTTTTATGATCCCATATTTTTGTCCCCTGCCTGTTTTAGAATGCTTTTTGGGGTAAGTCTACGTGCTCGGCACTGCCCCCTGGTGGCCGCTAACGGCGCTCCAGGCAGGACAGACCGCAGAGGATGCGCTGAGCTGTCATTATGTGCACGGACGGGCGCCGGCAACACCCAAACCCAGTGCGGCAAAAACGGGCCCGTGGCGCTCAGCAGCTCGTCTAATGACCGAGTGCGCGGCAACGAATATCATGAGTCACGCATGAGGCCTGCATGATGTCTTTCAAGGTAAAAGCAGCTCTCATCGTCCACATCAGTGACGGGACGCGGACCGAGAGGGCTTCCATTAGCCGCCACGTCACACCTGCTTCCTCTCAAAGTCTAGACTAGCTCATTGTCAGTCTTTTTTATGATGGTGTCGTGGATTATTGCTTTCAATGATCGAAATGTAAACACTAGAGCTGACATTAGACTGGCTGTTTACTGGCGTTAAAGCAGTCTCACAGTCCAGCTCTGCGGGTGCATGTGCGCGCACCTGCGTCTATTCTATTGCAGCTTACAGTTCAGTCGCATTCGTGTTTCTGGGGTTTAGGAGTCGGTCAGATATGATTAGAGTGTGTGCACAGTTATATGTATTACTGATGTTTGAAAGCCATTCTAGGAGGAAGAGTTTAGGAGTTGTGTGTGTGTGTGTGTGTGTCTGTGGTCAGGGTTGGTACCTATTGGTCATTTTGCATTGTATTGGTGTTTGACCTGTCCCTTCTGACACACACACAACATTCTTTGAGGCTTCAAAACTTTAGGGACACTTCAACACAAAGTACTGCTGGTAAAATTAAGTCCGTCTTTAATGGTGGTTTCACTGGTAGTGTTTGTGGTGTGTATTTACCCCCTCCCCAGAAGGAAACACCCCTGGCCAACGCTGTGTTTTGGGCCGCGAGGAAGGGAAACCTGGCTCTGCTTCAGCTGCTGCTCAACAGCGGGCGAGTGGACGCCGACTGCAAAGACAGTGTACGGACGCTGCATGTCCCGGCTGCTCGGCTGCACGCTTTAACCATGACCCACGTGTGGTAGGGACAGAGTCTCCCCCTCACTCTGTGTCTGCATGAGTCTGCGTGCCTGTCCTCATCGTCCACAGCTCCTGAAAAAAAGGCCTGAATACTCAGACGTGAAAGTCCTCAATTGCTTCTCAGCATATGTATATATGTTGTTGTAAATGCCCTGGAATTCTGTTATATTTTATATGTGATATGCTGTAGTTCTATTATACCACCCGTTTAACTAAAAAAATGAATGTGAAATTTTCAACTCGAAAGGTGGAACACAGATTTGTTCAATACTTCATGCGTTTTAAAACAGTCAGTTTGAGGTGAGACCATTTGCAACAATGGAAAATGACCAAAATGGTTCCAATGCAGTATCGTGACAAAACTTTGACAAATACCAGCCAGTGGCTTTTCCAGCTAGTTGTGTCCCTCTGATCGTAAGCATAGTAAAAGCAATTCACAATTGATTTCATTTTTCCTGAGAATGAGGTATCATTTTCAGTAAATGACAGTCTATTAGAACACGTAGGACGAGAATAAGTGGAAAATATAGGTCAGTGTGTTTGAAACAAGTTCAGTAAAGAAGAGAAACTTGGTGATCATTTAATACCTCAGAACAGACTGCTGCACCTCAGATGCAATAGGAGAATGAACTTAATCTAAACATTTAAGGTTAAAATTTAAGGTGAATGATTTTTCTCAGCACTCCCCACACATATATATATCTCCCCTTTTCAAATGTATACACAGTATCCTCTCCTTTCTTGTGCAACATGGGAAAATGTGGCCTGCTTCCATTTAATCTACAGATCAATAAGTAGTGTTAATCTTGCTTTTCAGATCGAATGTTCAGGGACATTTAGAATGCTAAAATTACCAACACTGTAATTTGCTAAATAAAGATCACATCTATCCTTCTTACAATAATGCAACAATATGGTATCAAAAGGAAGAACTGGGCCTGGGTTACCTGCGGTAAATCTCTGCAAAAAATTCAGTTTGTTGAGTGTTCAACTGTGTGACATTTTGTATCATTTTGCACCACTTTGTTGAGTTTCCGCCTCTCTATCCACATCTTTCTTGTGAGTCTCATTTGGACAGACGTACAACTCTGCCTCTGCAACTTCTCATAGCTTTGCATCTCAGCTCAGTTTGTCTTCTTTTGTGCATTGTTATATAGTGTGTCATGCTAAATTTCTGCCATTTGCATCTAATTATAAGCATTCTTTAACCTCCTGAAGTCATTTGCATGTAATTTGAGCGATTCTGAGAAATGTGTCCATTTCCCATATCTGCGTAGCCATTATGTGTTGTTTCTTGGTGGTGATATTCTTTCGTCTCTTGATAGTAGAGTTAACTGAGTCTGGGAGACCCATTCAGTGAATGACCATCTCACTTTTATGTCCACATGTCTTGTTTTTCTCAATCATGGTAAAGACGAGTGGTTTGAGATAACGCTAGAAAACCTTCACTTTCAGTACATTTGAACCTCTTTTAAGATGAAAGTAGTGGGGGGGGGGGAATGACACTGCTGGCTCATTGTCTGCATGTTTCTTTTCAGTATGGAACAACAGCACTGATGGTAGCGTCGTATAGTGGCCATTATGAGTGTGTCAAAGAGCTTATCATGCAAGGAGCGGACATCAACTACCAGAGAGAGGTAATGTAACAAACCTCTAATCCGGAGGCTCCTGGAGATCCCATCAACCAAGAAAACTTGTCTGTTCTCAATGCTTAAACAAAAAGCAATGTTTTGAGTTTGTTTGTTAGGAATTAAATATGTGTACAAATCTGGTCATGAACATTTTTACAATTTATCAAGCTTTTTTCCTTTCAATATGCAGCCGAATGTAGCTACATGTTTAGTTTCCAAATAAGGTTAAGTCTCTATAAAGCAATCCAATTTTTTTTTTTCATTTTTGCTTCTATAATTATTTAAGGACATTTAAAAGAACAACATAAATCCAGTTTAGTTAACTTTGGAAAAATTCTGTTTTTTTCATGTTTTTTCTTTGTAGTGCTCACTTTCAGTATAAAGAAACATGGACGTTTGTGTGTAGTGTTTGGTGGACGCCAGTGAAATAAACAGGAGTGTCTTTTTGCCGTCCTCTCCAGACAGGTTCTACGGCTTTGTTCTTCGCCTCCCAGCAGGGGCACCATGACGTCGTGAAGCTGCTTTTTGAATTCGGTGCCTCCACAGAATTCCAGACAAAGGTATGCTGCACAGACGTATTTCGTGGCTTTCAAACGCTGTGCGCTGGGATGTCAGGCCTCAGAATGCTCCACGTGGATAATGCCAGACGATGATGCTCAAAACGAGCTGCTGAGTTTTACATCTCGTCAGATACATTACCCATACCGCTAACAGTGGTGATTTTCAGCCACTTATCTCTCCAATCTCCAGGTGAATGATTCTAAATAGTTGTCATTCATGTGTGTCCTCTCTCGTCTTTGCTGACAGGACGGTGGCACGGCTCTCACTGTGGCCTCTCAGTACGGTCACTCCAAAGTAGTGGACATCTTGTTGAAGAATGGAGCCAATGTTCATGACCAGCTTCATGTGAGACCCTTTGCCCCCACATCTGCAGACTGCCGTTAGCCCGCTCTGATAAGTGTCCTAAACCCCGCACGAGTTTGTTTTTAGGCCTTTTTGCCCGTCAGGAACATGATAATTAGGTCCTCAGGAATCCAGCCTCTCAGGTTTCTGCTGACAGCTGAGTCAGGCATGACTCACCTTCAGCAGGATTAGCGTATCTTTTCAGGCTTTGCACGATAATCTGACTCTACAAAAGTGCATTTATTGATAGACGATTTAGCAGCATGTTTTTGGTTTTCTGAGTTTTCTTTTTTCCCCCCCCGCTAAGTATCAAACAACACTCATTTTTACAGGATGGTGCCACAGCCCTTTTCCTAGCTGTCCAGGGGGGGCATGTAACTGTGATTCGACAGCTGTTGTCATCTGGTGCGAAGGTTAACCAAGCCAGACAGGTAATGTCCTTTCAAGGCAGAAGCTATTCTATGCTCTTTTTTAACCCCTATAAAGGCATGTCCATTTTTTTAAGTCAGATGTCGGAGCAGTTTCTGTTTGAAAAAATAAACAATGACAAATTTAAACAGGGAAGTTAATTTGACAGCTGCACGGAACATGGCCATGAATGGTGAACCATTTTGCTGTTTTAAGCAGATCAAGCTGTGAACATTTCTATTTTTTATAGGGTATTGTACATGGGCTGAAGAATGTTGGTATTGCTCCAATCATTACATGTGTGACCAATGGTCTCATCCCTAAAAGGCAGATAACTTAAGTAAGAGTGTATGAAAAGACAGCCACTTATCATCTGGGTTTGTGTGACCGTGGCCCACATTTACTGTCCATTGAAACAACCTAAGCTATTTTGGAAAGCGGAGCGCGTCTTATTACTTTGCAGAGATTCTACAGTGGAGAGTGCGGTGTCAAAGTAAAATAGTTGTCTGATTAAGATAGGTTCAAGAAGGAGGCGGATGTTAAGAGCACAAGTAGAGTGTGAAAAGTAAATAATAATACAGATCATAGTGGGCAATAGAAATAGAGACTTTTAAACAACATAGAAGCATAAATCCATCTTTATACGCTTTGTCTCTGCCACTCCTCCCCTTCATGTTTTCTCCAGGATGGCACTGCTCCCCTGTGGATGGCGGCTCAGATGGGTCACAGTGAGGTGGTGAAGGTGCTGCTCCTGCGTGGAGCAGATCGGGAAGCTGACAGACGGGTACCTGCCCATTTGGAAATAGTGAACTGCACCAAAGCGTCAATAATGGCATTCTTATTGATTAGAGCCATTTAGTCTGTCGACAGTAAACCCAAAAGGCTGAATCTTTAATTAAAGAAGAAGGGAATTTATGACTACTTATGAGAGACTTGTTGGTGAAGCCTGTGGTATAGTTCAGATAAATAATTGTGGTTGAAAGTGGTTTTGTCCACTGTCTTTAAAGGATGGAACAACAGCTTTATTCAAAGCAGCCTTAAAGGGACACAATGCCGTCATTGAGGAGCTCCTTAAATTTTCTCCTTCCCTTGGCCTTCTCGAGGTAAATTTGCTGTATGTGTTGTTCCTTGTAGCAATAATAAATAATGAAAACGTCTATTCTAACAATGTTTCACACTTTTTATACTATAAAGCAACACTATTTTACATTCTAAAAATATTATATCCATACTATAAGCTGTTTTTTTCTTCCAGAATGGCTCTACGCCCCTTCATGCTGCAGTCATGAGTGGAAATATTCGAACTGTTCTGCTTCTCCTCAGTGCCAACGCAGACCCAACACTACCAAACAAGGTACATTTTGATGGCAAACGAAGAATAGGTTCAAGCACTGTTTGTTTTTGTTGTTTTTGTACAAAGATTTTTCTCTTGTGTTTTGCAGAATAACGAACTCCCTGCAGATCTTACAAAGAGTGATCGCATCTTAAAGGTTTTACATCCAAAAATCAGCAACGGAGAAAGTTGATAACTCTTTCCTTCTTCTCCGCCAGTACCGCACCCGTGAAGCGTAGTGGAAGGAAATACCAACAGCATCAGCGTCAGAACAGCTCATCTGTAACACGTCCTGCACACAAGCATTGCTTTCAGTTGTGGCTGGAATGAAGAAATGAAGACTCTGAACAAACATGGACTAAATATAGAGCAACACAAAATATATTTGCCTGCCAGCATAATCCTCCACTACAAGCATTTATTTTCTCACTGGGATGGTAAGATTACAAAATGTCCCAAGATATTTATTTGCTTCTTTTTTTCAAATAAATGTATATAAATGAAGTGTCAGTATCCAATTTAACTGTGGCAACAGTGTTTACTATTGTTAACCACAACGTTTCACATCGGAGAGCACATGAAGATGAAGTATAATACATTGTTTGTTTGTCATAATAAAAACGGTTGCACTCAAGGTCGTTATAAATATACACTTGAGAATCACCGGTGTCACAACTGATTTAATATAATTAGTCTCTTTCCCTTGCAAAAGGAACATTTTTCATCGTTTGGGTGCAGGCATGACCTATACAGACTACAGTTCATGTCAAAGAAATGAAGAGCTCATCGCGTGTCACGTGACCCACAGCGGAAGTGATGGTCAAATGTTTGATGCGGAAGCGAGACAAAACATTTGTGATGTTTCGGGTTTTAATTAGTTGGATGTGAAAACTTATGTAGCGGCAAACGCGGAGGAAAATAACTCACAGGGTTTATTATTGTTATCTGACCGTTGCCACCGAAGACTTTACGACGTAAGAGCAACCAATGGCGGGCGGTAATTTACAGGTGAGCGACAAAAACTTTGAGAAACTACCCGGTTACACAACAACACCGAGTCAACATAACACTCGTATTAGTTTGGATGGATAAACAAGCTAAACTTACTTTTACATACTTTAAGGAGCTAATTTAGCAACGAAATGGCTTTTATTGGATAGTGGTTGACTAATAAGTAACGAACTGCATCTTAACAATATTAAAGGTATTTTTAGTAAGTACTTCAAGTGTTTACGGTACGTTTCTTGTCTTTTCTCAATTCTTAAAATCCATACCAAATGCAGACAATGTTAAAAACACTCACCACAGGAGACTCATAGGAAATAATTTGGGTTGCCAAGCCGCTGTTTCCAACAACATCTGTGCATTCATTACCAACTTAACAAAAGAAAGTGTTTGTATCTTAGGCTTTCCAAGCAGCTCAGTGTCAAGGTTGGGAACACTCCAGCTCCTGAAGTGAATGGTTTTTATAATAACTTTAATCTCTTAAGATCCAGTCACAGCAGTTGCATTTAGGGGTATAGTAAAGGTTAAGCACACCCAGGGGCTGTAGGAGAGGCAACAGAGGACAAGAGAATCTTAGTGGTGATAGGTGATGCCCCAATTCCTAATTTGATGTTGGATTTAGTGGTTATTTCCCAAAACGGTTTAAGTTTTGTTTTAAAAAGGGAATAAAATGAGGTTGTAATCATTTGCACTCTATTCAATCGGACCATTTAGAATTAAGGACCAGCGTAAAGTGATGAACGGGCGTTTTCGGGGCGTTTTTGTTTCACTTTGTCATCCAACAACACCATGAGTCTGTCCCCAAAACACCCTTTCAATTTCTTTGTTCCCAGAAAGCAATAGATCTGGCCGGCAAAGCAGCAGAGGAAGACAAAGCCAAAAACTATGAAGAGGCTCTCAGATGTTATCAGCATGCTGTGCAGTACTTCCTTCATGTTGTTAAATGTGAGGCACCTAACTCACAGCACTCAACTGATTTTTTAAAGTGATTCGTCCTTTTTTTCCCCCTTTGTAAGCGTGGTGTAAATCTCATGGTGTTGTTGCCACAGATGAGACGCAAGGGGAGCGAGCGAAGCAGAGCATCAGGGCCAAATGTGCCGACTACCTGGATAGGGCCGAGCAGCTGAAGCAATATCTGAAAGATAAAGAGAAGCCCGCCAAGCCTGTCAAAGAGTCCCAGTCTGATGATAAAGGGTGAGCGGATGCGGACAAATTTCTAATAGTGTGCAGTCCGCTTACAATTTATGTCGGTAAAACCTGGTTTTCATGCAGATTTTTTCATTCAGGTGTTCTAAAATGTCTCATTTTAGGAGTGAAAGCGATGAAGGGGAAGACAAAGAGAAGAAGAAATTCAAAGACCAGCTGTCTGGTGAGTTACACATAATAATAAAAGGAAAATACTCCAACGCATAAAACTTCTTATGAAACCGGTCTCTCTTATAGGTGCCATTGTGATGGAAAAGCCAAACATTAAGTGGAACGACGTAGCAGGACTCGAGGGAGCCAAAGAAGCCTTAAAAGAAGCTGTGATCCTGCCCATTAAATTCCCTCATCTGTTCACAGGTAACAGAAAATGAGACCCAGGTCTTAACCCCCTCAAAATTCATTAAATATGTGAATCTTGTTAATATTTATTGTTATTTTGGGTGTGTTTTGTGTAGGTAAGCGGACTCCTTGGCGGGGGATCCTTCTATTTGGCCCTCCAGGTACAGGCAAGTCCTACCTGGCCAAGGCGGTGGCCACTGAAGCAAACAACTCCACCTTTTTCTCCGTCTCCTCCTCTGACCTGGTGTCCAAGTGGCTGGGGGAAAGTGAGAAGTGAGCCTCTGGGTTTTTACATCATGATAAAGAGGCACATGACAAGCCTTTTGTCAGAAACGAAGGAGAAAAAACAAACACACAAACAAAAACTTTTGTCTCCAGACTGGTGAAGAACTTGTTCGCCTTGGCCCGCGAGCACAGGCCCTCCATCATTTTCATCGACGAGATCGACTCTCTGTGCGGCTCCAGGAGCGAGAACGAGAGCGAAGCTGCCCGCAGAATCAAGACGGAGTTCCTCGTCCAGATGCAGGGTGAGCAGGGTTGAAAGCTACTGTGACTGAACTCAAAGCTTAAAATCCTTCTACACAAACACAATACATATAAACAAGTGACAAAAAGTCCATCCCTGACTGAATTAGAGGTATAAATTGATCTTTAAAACAAAAGCTGTACTCCAAAGCCCTCAGATATTGTGTGAGGGGATGAAGAAAGTCGGAAAATATAGATTTCTTTCAAACAGATAAATAAATTGACTATATTTTGCTGCTCTCTCTTCCCCTCAGGTGTCGGAAATGACAATGAGGGAATCCTGGTGCTAGGAGCAACCAACATACCATGGACTTTGGATTCAGCAATCAGGAGAAGGTTTGCTTGACTTAATTGTCATCTAGTTTCAGACTCTCATGGTCACAGTCGAGCAAATTAAAGGGGTTCGGTAACTTTTTGACTGTTTTAGGTTTGAAAAGCGGATCTACATTCCTCTGCCCGAGGAGCACGCCCGTTCCTTCATGTTCAAACTCCACCTGGGCGCCACCCCCAATGCCCTGACGGACGCGGACTTCGTCACCCTGGGCAAAAAGACCAACGGTTACTCCGGAGCGGACATCAGTGTCATCGTCAGGGATGCCCTCATGCAGCCCGTCAGGCGCGTTCAGTCAGCCACTCACTTCAAAAAGGTAAAACCCTCTCAAATGTGGTTCAAAGCTTGCCTGCAATCTTATTTAGGAATTAAATGGAGGTTTTTTTAAGGCCTTAAACACATCTGCGTCTTGAGGGCCTGATGTCAAACTGCTTAGGTGGTCATAATTCAGCTAATCATAGTTCTCAGTGTTTCAACACAGTTAGAAACTATATTCTAACATATTTAACGTCTTACAGCTCATGTAAATTTCTTATTTAAGAAAAGGAGGTTTCAAACACTCCCTTTATCTTTCCAGTATCAGCTGACAATGACACAGAAAAAGGCTGGCGAACATTTTAAAGTTGGCTTCAGCCAGGCCCCTTCCTCCTCGCACTGTCCACTCACGATGCGTTCATTCTAGGTCCGAGGGTCAACGTGGAACGACCCGGGCACCGTGGTGGAAGACCTTCTGACGCCGTGCTCCCCTGGGGATCCTAACGCCATAGAGATGACGTGGATGGACGTTCCCGGGGAGAAACTCCTGGAGCCGGTCGTGTCCATGGTAAGAAAAGACTCATTAAGCGGTGAGTGCTGCCGGTAAACACACCGACCTGTGCCTGTCGTGACCTCCTGCCTGATGTGGTCTGCACAGGGGGACATGCTCCGGTCCCTGAGCAACACCAAGCCCACGGTCAACGAGCAGGACCTGGACAAGCTGAAGAAGTTCACTGAGGATTTTGGTCAAGAAGGCTAAAGAGCAACACCTCACTCCCTGCTTGTTACTGTGTCTGTGATGAGTAACTATCTTCTCTTTCAGTTATTCTTTTAATCATGCGACCAATGTTTTGGTCTGTGACTTTTAAGAAATGCTGGACATTGTTGATGAGCGATTACTGGAGCTCGAAGTTCTTGGTTTACTTTTTTTTCCATCCATCGATCCACCGAGGCTCGGATATACATCTTTTTCTAATGGTTTTCTCATGTAATGTACAGCTTACACCAAAGTGCTAGAGGTCCGCTGTGTACAGATAGGGTTTGAACTTAATGCATCACTGTGGGTGGGTAGTTGCTTATTTCCCAACACCATATTCGCCACTTCATAAAAGATGGATGACAGGCCAGAGACAAGTCGTTTTGTGGTTAACTTTTGTAAATGGGAGATTGCTCATTTTTATGAATGCCTTCTCTTTTATAAACATGTAATCAACTCTGTCCTGTTTTTGTTTAGTTTTTTATTCCTCTACATAGAGATTTAACACCTGCAAGTCTTTGGGTCTTGGTGAAGTTTGAGAAATCAAATTATTTTTTTACTTTAACTTACTGTATCATGGAAGTTTTTTCTGTGTAAAGAACACTTCCACATTGAATATGTCGTCTAAGCATATTCAGGCTTTTATATCCAAAACCGATTTTATCGTTAAACCTAAGAAGTTTTGTCGCGCTCTGATAATCCGGCGTTCCCGGTTGGTGTCTTTGGGTTTGAAATGGGATTTTAGAAAAAGGTAAACGCCATTCGCACTTTTCTTTTATCTTGTGTGTTCTGTGAACAATTTTCAGGGTTGAATAAACTAAACAATGTATAAAGAAAAATGAGCAATTATTAATGTTGTATATGTTTATTTGTTAAAATACATTTTAGCTTCACATTTTTTTTATTTTTTTTACGCAGTGTGAATAATTTAATAAGTACATTCACCAAGCAAGAACCTCTTCAAACAAATGTAGGACTTAGAAAATTACATCTGGATAAATCTTTTTGCACGTCTAAAATCCGTTTGCACGTCTAAAATCTGTTCCCGTTTCAGAACTCGGTATTGTTGAGGGATCTGCTTTGAAATGTAAATCCAACGGTTCCTTGGAGCTTGAGCTACAATTCTGAATGAAGTCACGACAGACACTAAAATACTCAAAAGAGGTGAAAATGTCACTAAACAGAAGAAGGACCAGCTTGAAATGCAAGCTGGTGCATCAGTTTGGACGCACCTCAAACCAAAAGGCCCAATGCAACAGCTGCCGATGGGGAGAAAATGAAAAAAGGCTACATTTACACACTACCAGATTCAAGGGAAGCGATGTCCCTCTCCACTTCTGGCCGTTGCCAGCGTTATCTCTGGTAAAGACGACCTCAAAACTGGATCCAACCCAACAGCTCCCTCACAATACTACGATGAAAGTCTTTATTGCTTTGTGTGTCTATGCAACATTCATCTGTAGCTGCCTTACCGACGGATAACATTCCAGAGACTCTGCAAAAGATTGATGAGCAAACGCAAACAAGGGATACAGGGGAAATTAACACACAAGCAAACACAAACAGTTAGTCTTGATTTTAAAGATCACTTTGAAATTGCAAAGGCCGACTTTTGTGCTTCATGAAACTGAAACAAACTTAATTTGGAGCCCATAACGGTGAAGTAGCGTATTTCTGTTATTATTGAGTAATAGTCGTCATTTTTGGTACAGGATATCCATACAGAGACAACACAGATGGGGTTCGGGGGAACACCAACGATATGAGAAAGTGCTAATAGTATCTGCTGAGCGATCACAATCATGTTTCTCAGATGCAGCCCCGCCCGCACGGGCGCGTTTCATCCAAAATCATGTGACTGCACAGAGACGAGGCCATGTAGTGGGGAATGCAGGGGAGCTGGGAGCGCCTGACCACGCGCCCGGGGTCGCCTCGCCTCGCTAGAAGACGGAGAAGAGGGAGCCCAGCGCCAGGCCGGTGGCGGCCCCGGCCAGCATGCCCAGAGCCACGTCCCCTCCGTCGTCCCACCGGCGCTCCTGGACGATGACGTGGTTCACTCCGGACGCGCCGTACCCACCTGAACGGCGAGAAAAGAACCCGAGCCGATGAGGGTTCTCCCGGTCCGATGCCCCGATGCTTGCGCTGTTACTCACCCTGGTGCTGGTACGGGTACGCCACAGCGTAGGGCTGCCCGTCAGCCGAGTACACCACCTGCGTGGCGTGCGGGGGAGGAGCGGTGTAGTCTCCATACGGGCCCGGGGCATAAACCTGCCGACATAGATGCAGAAAGATGGCCGTCCATGACATCTCCACCAGATGGCAGCAGCCCGGGGTGATTTCAACTTATTTTCTGAAGCACCACAACTGTCTGTTCTGCATAATTCTCAGTCAAATTTTCAATTGGGATGGATCGGATCAGACAACTGTAGGTGTAAATTGACATGGTAGTGAGGCTAAACCCACGATGAAACCACCGTTTTTGTACTCATTTATGCCACTGGCCCCATTTTACCTGTGGTTGAGCGTATTCTGAGTAGGGCGGGGGAGCAGACGCCATAACCTCTTGTGCAAAGCCGACCTGAGGTGTAGCGACCACCTACAAATGTGACGCAACCACAAATTAGTTCACATGGCATTAAAACAACTGAGAGAAGAGGATAGTTCCCATTTTTAATGTCAAAATTATGGATGTTCCAGCAAGAGTATGAAAGACTCTTGCTAAAAACACCTAAACTAAACTAAAAATTCTGAGTTAAATTTTTTGTCTAATATTGTTCTTGTAATGACAGACAATGATGGACTGCAAGCAGAAGCCCACATACGATCGTTTGCAAATCAACCAAAATCTCACCGTGTTGATTCTGGCATCCTGAAGAGCCATGGTCCACGCACTGCGACACAAAAGAATGGACACTAAATCATCTTGGAATGAAATGCCCTTTTTAAAGAATAAATTAAATAAACAAATTGCACACATTTTCAACACAAAAACAGAATGCTTGAATCAGCCTGACAGATTTCCTGTGTGTGTGTTTGCTCTCTTACAGAGCGTCGTCGGGACTGTCCGCACACAGGCTGATGACCCGTCCGTCCCGGCACACTATCTGGAGCAGGGCGTCACGTGTCTTCCCCTCCGGTGGGTTCAGCTCTGAGAGGCAGAGCAGAAGGATGGGAAGGACGGTGAGATAATTAAAGCAAAAAAAAAAAAACACGAAGGTGGGGCGGCGTGCTGCTAAATGTAGAGCGAGCATGTGGCCAGTACCTTGACACGCAGCAGAGCTGCGGATGTTAATGCAGTTGACCCTCATGTGGATGTCGTCCTCCATGTCACGCCGCTGCTGGTCATTGTAGAACACCAGCCGCCCGTCGGCCCACAGGTCGAACCAGTTTCTTTTCCAGCGGCGTAATATGGTGCCTTGCACGGAAAACACTCCGGTATCACTCTTTCCTCATTTTTTAAAGGATCTAAAGGCTTTATTGGTGACTTCCCAATATACAAGAGATGGTTACTCACTTTGCCTGTGGAGCCAGCCACTTTTTACCATAGCCATCCTGGAAGCAACACCTTAGAACAAAAAAAAGAACAAATAAATACAGTGTTTGCTCCCCGGGCCATGGTGTCTGTCATAACTGTGGGGCTGGTGACTGGGTGGGGCATGTCCAGCACAAAATCTTGTGACTGCAGTCTCAATTAGCATGACCACTAAAGTATCTCGAGTCTTAAAGAAGACATAGGCAAATGGTCCCTGCTGATGATAGCTGAGTTTTACTGGTTTGGCCTGAATCAAACTCATAAAGACAAAATGATTGGCTGATCACATAACAACAACATGGATTCCTCCAATAAGATTATCATAAGAAAGCACAAAAAACAAAACAAAAAAAGCATAACATGCCATTATATGGCATTTTCTAGATAGATAGATAGATAGATAGATAGATAGATAGATAGATAGATAGATAGATAGATAGATAGATAGATAGATAGATAGAGCCTTGTTTATTTCAGTAATATTTCAGCATTCCCTTGGCAGGTAATCTTCACCTTTACTAAATTAACTACCAAAAGACGACTACATTATTATATCAACTGAAAGAAAACAGCTTTATCTTTCTAGCTGGAAGTCCCCTGATGGGCAAGTTACCGTTAAGACAAAGATGGCTCGTCGTGAGAGAGCCGACCTCTTAGCACAAGTTTACAGTGTTCACGGGCAAGCGCAACACTAACTCGCCGTCTTTTAACGAGATACTTTTTTAAAAAAGGCATAAGGTCGCATAAACGTATAAAGGTTCTCCGTTTAGCTACCTATTTGAGTCCTTGTATGGGTATTGCAAGATGAAACCGTTCGCGAAGACACGGGAAAAAACGCGGAAGTGAGGGGGCACAAAGGCAGGATGTCTTCCTCGGAGAGAAAAGATCCCACAGCTGACCCGAGTGCAGCTGGTAGGCCCAGGTCAGTGGTTCCCGTTAGCTACGCCGAGGGAGCATCCTCACGGACGTCCGGGCTCTTCGGAGAGGGACGGGTTTGTTTTGAATGACGTAAGCTATCAGCTGACACTGTTGGAAAGTGCTAGCAAACGCAGAGGGTGCGTTTGGTATTCTTCGCTCCTTAACCTTAATTTCACGTGGGATGTTCAGAGTGTGCAGTCTGAAGAACAGTGGGTTAAAAGTAGTTATCTGCTTCTTAACTGTTTCTGTACGGTACAAACGATTACATGCTGTTGTGAGGTTGCAATAAAGATCAGGGACACATTTGTGATAGATGAAGAAATAGGTAACGCCACTTTAAAATGGAAGCTGCATTGATCATTTATAGCGTTTGCAAATCCCAACTGGAATAATATTAACAACTGCATGGTGTTTGGTTTCAGAGTTAATTGTACCGTGGAAGCCAGCGTCTTCATACCGGAGACCAACGGGCGATGCCGTAGCACAAATCAAACGAACGGCTCTAGTGCGGCTAACAGCAGGGGAGCTAACGAGAGTAACGCAGAAGCTGAAGAGATAACGCAGAAATGGCGACGGCAATATATTTGGAACATTATCTGGACAGTGAGTATTTGTAAATGCTCTGTGCTGGTGTAATTCCTACAAAAAACCCGAATTTGGTCGACGTTTAGTATGATTATATCGAAAAGTTTTCACTTGAAGCATTAGAAACAGTTTGCAGGTACGTTAGCAAAATGTTGGGTCATTAGCTTGCTAGCTAAGTGGTAAGAATTTTAAGATATATTGTCATGGCGTAAAATACGGGCATGGGCAAGTCTTGGCTATCAGCCTTTCCGTATACAGTGATAGGTTGAGACGTTAGTGAACGTCTCTTCTGAGTTAACCACTTGTGGGCTCGCGTCTGTGAAATGTTGCAACACTCTGTAGCAACGAAGCCATATGGTGGCATTCTTTTTATCAAAACCAAACAAATTGATGTACTATTAATAGAATGGAGCCGTAACATTCTGTGCAAAGAGTCTTTTCGTGTTCATACATGTGCTACTTGTTCGGAACCGCGTTTCCCGTTAGCGTTTACGCGCCGGGGCGGGGTGATGGAAGTGCGTCACGTAGCTTCAGTTGGTGAGAGCGTTCAAACTGTGGGCTGCGTTTTACGTGTTCCACCAAGTGTTTGATCCTTCGGAAATTGCTGTTCCGATGTGCAAGCTACTTTGCCATTTAACCGTCATGTCTGCTGCTGTACTTCATATGTAAACAACACTGATGTTCTATATTATGTAGTTATGATCACATCACCAACGTAGGTGAAGATTACTACCAGCAGGGACAACTTGGTCCATGAACATGTTGAAAAGTCGTGTTGACTTTTTGAATTTGTCCCCCCCCCCTGCTTTTTTTTTAACCCTTCACCAGGTATTGAAAATCTGCCATGCGAGTTACAAAGGAACTTCACTTTGATGCGGGATCTGGACAATAGGACTGAAGGTGATCATTTTATCCCTGTGTCATCTAAGGGAGGCATAGATCATTAGAATTTCCATCAGTTTAATTCTGTGCTTTTGGAGTTTCATTAGCAGTCAGTTTTTTTGACAGGAGTGTTAACCTCTGGAATTAATCATGTTGCTTTGCAGAAAAAAAAGGAGAGATTGACAAACTGGCCGAAGAGTACATAGCAAATGTGAAGAACCTGGCCTCGGAGCAGAGAGTGGAACACTTGCAGAAGATTCAGAATGCCTACAGCAAGTGCAAGGAGTTCAGCGATGACAAAGTCCAGCTTGCAATGCAGACATACGAAATGGTCAGTCAAGAGCAGGCTCCCTGACATGGTTTTCCTGGCTCTTTTCATTTACGTTTTGCTGCAACATTCATCCATCCATATTAAGTCACATTTCTTTTTGTATGGAATTGAGAAATCTTCAAATCTGCATATTGATCCATGCATGTATGTAGGTTGTAATATGCATAATTTCTTTTTGTCATAGGTGGACAAACACATCCGCAGGCTGGATGCAGATCTCGCTCGGTTTGAGAATGAACTCAAGGAGAAACTAGAGCTGAGCGGCTATGAAAGCACAGATGGAAGAGCATTGAAAAGTAGTTTAGCTGATTAGCATTTTTCTGTTATGAGGCCATGGGTTATATATTTAGTTGTACTGATTTAAACTTTGTTCCCAGAGAGTGAATCGCGAGGGCAGAGAGAGAAGCGTGGATCCAGAGGACGCGGAAGGAAAGGATCTGATGAAGATTCCCCCAGAAAGAAAAAGATGAAGAACAGGTAACTTTGAGTTAGCGGTTCAGTACAGCCATGTAGTCATTTGTCCCAGTTGTCTGCCTCCTGGATGACTTTTTTTTTTTCCCCATCTATATAGCCCAGACTTGAGTGATGCACTCCTGCCTATGCAACCATCGGACGTCTTGGACATGCCGGTCGATCCCAATGAACCCACGTACTGCCTGTGTCATCAGGTGTCATACGGGGAGATGATTGGCTGTGATAACCCAGATGTAGGTTTTAATACATTCTTCAAAATTTCCTTTTTTATTTGTATGTTCATTTGAAAACCTGACTCTGAAGATTCATTATCTTCTCGCCCTTTCTTCCAGTGTCCCATCGAGTGGTTTCACTTTGCTTGTGTCGATCTCGCCACCAAGCCAAAAGGAAAATGGTAAGACGTTCTATCTGCTCATCCTAGTCGTCATTCATCGGGATGATCCAGGTCCAACAGTTGGCAAACACATTTGACTTCTTTTCTTTGATTTGGCAGGTTTTGTCCGAGGTGCACTCAAGACAGGAAGAAAAAATGAGATTTGTCCGAAATACATAACTAATGTCTGTATTCTTTGCTGTTGTCATATAGCGTAGTGTATATATTTGTTCTTAAAATTCCCCACTGAAATGTTTGGTTACATATGGCTTTCTTTAAAGGGTCTAATCCAGATGTGGTGTAATGCTATACTCATGGTGCCGTTATTCTTCCACACTGGCTTTAACATGTCCGTGTTTGGATGTTAGCACAACCATTAAGAAAAATTCTATTCTTTATATTATTTATGTGCCCTGTGTGTGGTATGAAAGCCCCTTCTCTGAAGTAATAAGCTTATATGTCATCATGACTAACCGGCCCGGAAAGTCCGGGTTTTGGTTTTAGCATACTTGAAATATCAGTTTTATAAAGAATTATTTTTTTAAATCCAATTTACAGCCTGCTGAAAATTTACAATTTAAACACCTTAATCCTTACTGAAATGGCTCTGGTAAAAGAAATCGTGTGTCCATTGTTTTGTTTGTATTACTACCTCCCTGAGGCTTACATCAGCACCACTTAAAAGACTGCAATTGCTAGTGGTGTTTTAATAAAAAAGTAAGTGTTTTGATTAGCTTCTACCAAACTAGAAAGAAGATGTAATCTATCTCATCCTGTATCAAATTTAAACCGAAGCCTTTGACATTTCTGAATGTATTGTGGTACTAAAGGTCTTTCAATGTCTCTACTGTCAGTTGAATGAGGTGTTTAAGCACTTTGAATGAAAAAATTCCCCCTAAAGAGGTTTGAAACTCCAGGCGTAGTTTAAGACGATCCCTCTTTAAGAACTTTGCCACAGCACAGCCAATGTTGGCCCCACATTGACAACTTTGACTGATGGTCCACCAGGATTGGCCAATTTTATGGGACACTGGTACTTTACTTCAAACCATTATTGGAAATGTATACATATATATTTTGTATGACACGACATTTTCTAGACACATTTTCCAAAGGTATGATTGTTGTATTGCTCAGTCACTGATGTTCAATCAGAATTAATTAAATAGGATTTTAGCATCATTCATATTTTACTGTGAAGATCACTCAAATATATATAAGCCACAAATAGAAAAACCAAAGTCTATGTATTTTGTAAAATTCAGTATTTTATAACAAATAAATTTTCACTATTAATCATGCTTAATTTATTTCACTGAGTTTGGAATGAAACAAGATGTGTCAAAATTCTTACTGGTTTACTTGCATTTACAGTATGTTTAGTGGTGTCTGTTGTCATGTTATGTGGTTTCTGTCTGTGAATCTTTTGTCTTACACTAGCCAGGATCAGGAGTTACCACTGGGATTTCTTTACTGTAAAGCTTCGTCACCTCAATGTTTGTCTGCATTCTGAAAAAATGCGTTTGTGGTTTCAAAATCCGTCATCCGAGTCCTCATCCCAGCTGCACCTTTCCTCAGTGGTCTTGTTGAAATCAACTTCCAGATCATAAATAAAGTCTGGATCGTCCTTGTGCTTCCGGTTCCTCTCAAACAGTCTGTCCATCTCTCCCTTCTTTCGGGCCAATTCATCATCTGCCAGCTTGTTCAAGTCTTCATTGGGGTCAAGGCGGAAGGAGGCAAGGCTGTGTTCCAGGCTGAAGCCCTGCATGTGATCCCTGAGGATGATGTGAAGTTTTTCCAGCTGAGTCTGGGACACTCCCTCCAGGTATTCCCTGTGCCGAGGGTGGTTCTTCAACCTCTCAGCAGCTAAGCTGCAATCTGGAAATGGAGAAGGGCATTAAACACATTTAAAAAAAAATGATCCTTCACCTTCAGAATAAGCAGCCTTTACAGGGAAGTGAATTTTTAAAGTGCAAATTTGTCAGTTTAACTACGATTGACAATAATTTCACAAGCTTGCCTCTAATACGTTGGATGTACATAAATGGAATTGCTTTAATTACATTACATATGTGTATACATTTGGTGAACTGCAATGAGTTGGATATCGATAGAAACAGGTAATGTTTAGCGTCTTAAACTCACGAAATAATACAACTACTGTCTTACCAGAATACTTTGAGAAGCTGCGCACAGGTATTATTCTTTTTCGCATCTTGTTGTTTTCTGTGTTTATATACATTAAAACTATGGACGGAGGATTGAAGTGCACCCCGCAGCGCTTTGCCTGAAAACGCATATTTCTGTGTATTTACTGCAACACAGCTAAATTATCTGCTAAATGTGGAAAAACAGAATAATTCTGGCCATAACGACAAACGGTATATCGACAGAATAGGATCCGTAATACGCTGTAAATAGCAGCTTTTGAAATGAAGTATCGCTTGGGAGTCTTCCGTTAGACGGTTTTTTTTATACCGAAGCCTTAACCGACGCCTGTGTACATTTTTTAGAGAAATAATTAACTACCTCCCTTATTATTTTGAATTCTCGTTACAAAACCTATCATATGGTAAATAAATATTTGTACAAATGTTTAAATGTTTGTTATTATGAATTACGTAATTTAAAATGCTATTTATAATCAGGCAGCTATACCGCTTCCCTATAGCTAGACAATGGTCCTTCAAAATTCTTTTCCGTAAACAGTTTAAAGAAGCTTGTCAAATGCCTGATCCAAACTGCATTTATAGCAGGCTTGTAATACAGTAAATGTTTTGATGTATTTTACACTTTTATTTGTGTTGCCCTGCTTATTGAAATGCCATTGTTTGGTCAAAAAGGGTAAGTAATATTGTTAAACTTCACTGCTAAGATGTAAATCTGTGAAAACTGGGGTAAAATGCATCTTACAAAGAAGAGAAGCTCAAACCCAAAGCTAAAAGGAATTTATTATCAATTCATGTGGTTATGTTCTTCAGTAAATAACGGAAAGGTCGTTTGAAATGATAAATGCTTTCTCTAAGGGACTTTGAATACATCTTGATGTTACCTGCACATTTCTACAGATGAGAATGAAGACCATTGTAGAATACTGAAGCTGGGGCTTGAAGACTCAACAGTGTCAGTGGAGCTTGGCAAAAATGGTTTTCACAGGTATATGGACATGTGTACTCTTACATTAGAGGAGCTTATTCAAAACAAGAATGACAAAGTGATTTGTAATGTGTTTTAGAGAGGTGATAACCACTGTCGAGATCAGGCCTGATGTGCTCAGCAGTGTCCGAGTTTTGCTGCTCTACAGTTGGCCAAGTGGTGTCTACGTAGACCCATATCAACTCGCATCCCTGAGTAACCAAAGAGACTGGCAGGTAACGCTTTGAAAATCCTTTTGTTCTTCATTCCTACCAAAAAATATTGATAAAGCATGGCTTAGTTTTTTAGCCAATAGAGCATTGCACATTGTGATGTACGTAGATAATCATTTCTGCCATCATCTCTGCAGATGCTATTAGATTCAAGCATCGACCTGGAGCTGCCTGCTCACAAGACTTCAGGATTTTCTTCATATGTGTATCCCTCATACACTGCACCAATCACTAGTCCCCTTAAAGTAGAAATTCCAGTGCATGGACGCTACCACAAACCTTCATTTTCTGGGAAAACCTCTACATCCATTAGAATTGAACCCCCTGAGCTGTTCCTGTGGTCTGAAAAATGTAAGTCGGTCAGATGTACTTTATAATATATGTTTACGCTATATGATCAATTTCCTCAAATCAAGTCAAACTCACATGTGTGTATTGAAGAGATTCTGAACACAGCTTTGTTTACACAATGATACAATTAAAGAAAAAAGGGAAAGAGATTTTTTGTTTATATTTCAAAATTCCCCAGTAATGTTTCTATAAATTCAGCTTGTAAATATTTCAAGCTATTATTCAGATCTTATTTGATTGAAACAATAGCATGGCTGGCAAAAGCCTTCACAATAATCTCTGGAACACAGTATTTCCATAAAACATTTAGTTTTCTTTGTAGGCACTCAGCTGGACAGATTGAATGCTCCAAGTGTTTTGGAGGCACCATGTACCGACAAGAATTCCAGTACCTGTTCATGGCTCAAAGTCCGTCGTCAGCAGGTAGTTTTCACTATATGTTGTTATGCCAAGATGGTTTTCATAGCACTGATATTGTTAAATTTCTTTCCAAAATATCTGTGATGTTAGGAGCTTAGCCCCATGAGTCTGCAGTTACCAGTGGGTGATGGCTGGGCGATGGCTCCTGTATGCGGGGGAACTCTCCTGGTCACCATGACCTGCTGTGCAGTGCTGTCCAAATACATGTGGAAGCATATGTTGTGCTAGCCAACTCAGTTTTGTCTGATCATTTTAACGTCATGTTGACTTGGAACAGGGTTACTGCAGGTCTGAAATGTATCCACATATCCATATTAAAATACTTTTGACAGAACGTCTGTGTTGGTGACTGCTGTAATATTTTTCTACAAGCCTTCCCTCTGGAATCCTGGCTCAGATATGGAAACATACAACAGGGTATAAGTGACAATAATTTTTTCTGACCAAAATATTGAATGTATAGCCACTAAACCAGCCTCAATAAATACAACATGAAAGAAATGGGAAAAAAAAAAAAATATATATATATATATAGGTAAATCATTCTTTAAAAAAAAGGACTTCTTTATGCGACCTTTGGTTTATATTTCCTTAAGTTTCGATGTCTTTCTCTACACATTTTCTTTTTTTATTTTATTTGTTTGTATACATTTCCAGAATTAAGGTACATCTCCGTGTCGGCAGCACTACCGGTTTTGGATTGTGAAATTGGAAATTGGATTCTCAGTCCTTTCATTTGAAACCTTTGCTGAGGGGCCAGGGTTGGGTCGGTAGTTCCGCTTCCCCTTCGCCATAGCGGAATTATCCAAGGGGCCGAAAAGACAGATGAAAAGTTGCACTGTAAATAGTTAAGCGTATTATTTTTTTTACTAAGTTATTTATACACCGCGTGCCCTGTTCGGGCGCCAGTGACCCTGCAGGAGAGCTTTTAAAGGATTTTACAACCGTTTCCTGGACCGTCCTGCAGTCAAGTTGTGCTCTAGTTGAGCTGGTGTGGAATCTCCGGTGAGCTCCGCCGCTTCTATGTCGCCTCCGTTAGCTTGCATTTAAGCCCACTGGTACGGGACAGTTAGCCTCCGGGCACCCTTCGCGTCTGTCTAAACTGTTTGCTGACGTACGTGGAGTTATGTAGGGGGGCAAAGCTTGTGAGTTTTGCTGGCAGACACTCGATAGCGTCGGCCGGGGAGCTTCACGCTTTATAAGGCGCTACGGTAGCACGTCGTGCTAACGGTAACTTGTAGCTAGCACACTTGTTGGCCGAGCACCGTGTATGCTAGCGTTAGCCTCATAGCCGCCCCTGTTGTTACTCGTTTGAAGGACATTGTGAACAGGACAGGCGGTATCTTAAAAAAAAACAATGACATCAGTGCGTTTAATAAAGAGTTGTTTAATGCCATGTCTCCGTTTGTATGCCCGCAGAATGAGCCACTTCCATGATTTTATTCTTACACGTTTCAGACGTGAAATCTCTGCTACTACATTTGTTTGTGATTTGAAAAGAAATCAGTGACGTATGTGTTCCAACAGTCATTTGTTGCTTGTTTTAGTTGGCCCACCTATTCGCCTAACCTGTTGCCACTTCATTGATTAAATTAGTGATAATTCCTTAATAATTTAGGCATTGTGTGATGACACTGAGGAATTCATATTGTTGGAAACCTCTCTATTGTTATTACTATCGTTATTATTCACACCGTGTCCCATATTTACAAATGCCACCCACTAATACATGTCTATTTGTTTCCTTTTGGCTTTAAGAACATTTCTCTTTCACTTGTACCTCTGAAAGTACCTGAAGATTAAAAGTTGTGGAACTGTGTTGCATTTAGAACTTCTGTTTTTATTGTTGTTTAATTGTTTTACGGTAGTTTGATTTTTTTTTCTTTATTGTCCAGGTACTACCAGGCACTTCCTCTCTTCTGCATGCGCACACCAGCGCGTCATACTGATGTGAGCGCCGCCCCCCCCTGCTTCGCTGTGTATCGCCCTCTCCAGCCTCACCCAGTCAGCCGCCCTGCCTCATTAGCCCTGCAAGGCTCACAGAGATCTCCCAGCAATGTGTGACAACGGCGACCCGGAGGATAAGCCCCCCGCCCCTCCAGTCAGGATAGGCAGCACCATCTTCAGCACTAGCACTGGCAAAGACCTGCTCTCCGCCAACCACAGCTCCAAGCCACTCCCCTCTGTGCCCGAGGAGAGGAAAGCTCGCCACAAGATCATCTCAATCTTCTCCGGGGCGGAAAAAGGTGACGAGGAATTCATTTTTGGCGTTCGGAATAACCGATTTTCTCATGGGTCTTGCTTCCGTCAACGTCGGTAATGTTGTGGTTACTTCCAGGTGGCAGGAAGAAAGATCGCGAAAAGGACCGATTAGAGATCTCATCCCCGTTAGATTTTGAACACACCTTACATGTGGGCTTCGACGCTGTGACGGGGGAGTTCACAGTGAGTTATCGCCGTTAGGATGTGCTCACGCAGTCACCGTTATGTTTGCCCTTTCCACCTAAACATTTTCGCCGCACACGCTACAGCCTTTCACCCCCTCTGCCGTCCCTCTGTGCTACCTTCAGGGCATGCCGGAGCAGTGGGCTCGACTCCTCCAGACCTCAAACATCACCAAGTCAGAGCAGAAGAAAAACCCACAGGCTGTGCTTGATGTCCTCAAGTTCTACGACTCTTCGGGCAACGGGCGGCAGAAGTACCTCAGTTTCTCTTCCTCCGGTGAGACGGGATGTCAGTTAGAGGCTTCAAGTGTTGAGTCGCTTATGTGGACTTATGAAGCCTTACGTGTGCATAAAGCTCCTGCTGCGAGTGCTGACGGCTATTGGTGTGTTTCTCATTTACAGAAAAGGATGCTTTCACTCCAGGACCTCAGTCTGTAAGTCTCTCATCCCTTTTGAAAGCAGCAGTTTCGTGACGTTCTCTGTTTTGGGTGGTAAAGTTAATCAAAGTGCTTTGATGTTTAACCAGCCCGTCAAAAAAACCACCGAACCCTCATCTCCGAACATTAAAGACATCGATGATGACGACGACGATGAAGCTCCGCCTCCAGCTGTGGCACCAAGACCGAAGCACACACAGAGCGTGAGTTGCCTCCCTTAAGTTGGCACCCACTTTTGGATTTTTCCAAAAAGATATTCTTAGTTGGACCATTTTGAGAAAGTCTCGGCCTTCACTTTCTCTCTGGGTACGTTGGACAGGTGTACACTCGATCTGTCGTCGACCCCATCCCTGCTCCAAGCGCGTCACCCGACGCGGATGCTGCCTCCAAGGCTGCAGACAAACAGAAAAAGAAGGGCAAGATGACGGACGAGGAGATCATGGACAAACTACGTAAGTCGTCCAAAGCAACCGCCACTCCTCGTGCCCCAAAATAGAGCAGCCGAGTTCCTCCTTTCACTGTTTGCAAATCATTCTTCACATGTGACCGTGATATGTCTTACAGGAACCATCGTCAGCATTGGGGATCCGAAGAAGAAGTACACACGATATGAAAAGATTGGTCAGGGGTGAGTGCAAATGCACCATTTACATGTAGCGCACGTGCCGTTTGTCATCAGGAAAATTAGAAAAGGAGCAGGTGAAACAGTCACACGGCAAAAAAAACACCCTTATCCTTCTTCCTCCATTTAGCTGGTTTAAAGCAGGTGCCTGTCTATCCTAAGTTAATCTGATCTGTCCGAGCTCTTGATTTCAAGATCAGTCTCGTCTGACCGTCAGAAGCTGTGTGTGAGTGTGTGTGCAGATGTGCGAACAGGAACGCCAGCAGTTCTAGAGCTCTAACATGAGGCAGCTCACTCTGGCTGTAGAGGAAGCAGATTCTCTGACACGTCAGACTGATTACGGCTCAAAACACGCTGCCTCTCTGTTTGCAGGGCATCAGGAACAGTATTCACAGCGATTGATGTGGCCACGGGACAGGAGGTAATGAACGGAGAAGAGTCGAGTAAAGGCTGACCGGGGTCACAGCAAGCCCTGTTCCACTCAGGCTGAGCTGAATCCTGTCTGAGCCTCTCTGTCACGTTTATTTATTTATTTCTGCTCTCTCAGGTGGCCATCAAACAGATCAACCTGCAAAAGCAGCCGAAGAAAGAGCTCATCATCAACGAGATCCTGGTGATGAAGGAGCTGAAGAACCCCAACATCGTCAACTTTTTAGACAGGTGAGAGCGAGGCCAAACCTGCAACCGGAGTAGAACGAAAAACGATTCCCTCCCATGGAGCATAACGCTCTGTGTCCCGCCTCAGCTTCTTGATGGGGGAGGAGCTGTTTGTGGTGATGGAGTATCTGGCCGGTGGCTCGCTGACAGACGTGGTCACAGAGACCTGCATGGACGAAGCTCAGATCGCTGCTGTTTGCCGAGAGGTGTGCCAACCCCCTTTTTTTTTCTTTTCTTTTTAAATAGGACAGCTCCCAGTACAACTCATTCCAACCGCTTTTTTTGTTGGGGGGCCTCTTCCCTCTTTTTCTCTGCAGTGTTTACAAGCGTTGGATTTCCTGCACGCCAATCAGGTCATTCACAGGGACATCAAAAGTGACAACGTGTTGCTCGGGATGGACGGCTCTGTGAAGCTGAGTGAGTGCTCGCTGTTGGCCGCCTGATTTTTGAAAGTTTGACAGCTTACATGCTTATTACCATAACCGTGTTTCTTTTCTTTTTTTAAAAAAATTCTTTCTCCACCCGGCCTCTTCCTCTTCTCCCTTTCTTCGTGCGACAGCCGACTTCGGCTTCTGTGCGCAGATCACCCCAGAGCAGAGCAAACGGAGCACCATGGTGGGCACGCCTTACTGGATGGCCCCTGAAGTGGTGACCAGAAAAGCTTATGGGCCCAAAGTGGACATTTGGTCACTGGGCATCATGGCCATTGAGATGGTTGAAGGAGAGCCCCCCTACCTGAATGAGAACCCACTACGAGTGAGTGCAGAATGCTGTTTTTACTTCCTCATTTAGTTTTTGGTGTGACGCAGTGTTTCACTCTATTCATGACTGTTTTCTTTACTTTTACATGAGATACAAACCATTTGTGAGCTGTGTGACGATTATACAGGACTGTTCAATGTGAACAGCCAAGCTGACCACACATTTCTTTCTGAATTTATTAGGTTCGATTCACTTGCTGCAAACGTGTCGTTTCCTAAAACTACCCGTCACTTTTTTTTTTTTAATTTGGTTCCTTTTTTTCTGACCTCTTCCCCTTCTACAGGCATTATACCTGATCGCCACAAATGGCACACCAGAGCTTCAGAATCCAGAGAAGCTGTCTCCTGTTTTCAGAGACTTCCTGAACCGCTGTCTGGAAATGGATGTGGAGAAACGAGGGGGAGGCAAAGAGCTCTTACAGGTTTGCCTTTGCAGTCATTGTTTACGTTGTCAATCATTTCTTGCAGAGTTTTTTTGTTCCCCTCCCTCATCCTATTTTGTGTTGCTGTTTATCCTGTTATCCAGCATCCATTCCTGAAGCTTGCAAAGCCGCTCTGCAGTCTCACACCTCTCATCCTGGCAGCTAAGGAAGCCATGAAGGGCAGCCGCTAAGTGGTGGACCCGGCGGCCCCGCCTTCCCATGCTGTGCACAAATATGTGCCAACCCTGTAGATTTCGTGCCAGACAATAGGCTGAGAGTTACTCGCCACTCTTGATGCACCAGCCTTATAAGCCCTGACAACAACCTCACTGTGAAGAAGACCAAAAATCGAGAGCACAACCCCACCGCTGTCCATATGAACTCTTTTCTCTCAGATGTCAAAAGACAAGTCAAACTAAAGTGCTTAGTTTCAGAGTCAGGCATAGTTGATTAGTTTTTGTACATGGAATTTCTCAGCAACAAGTTAGGGCTAGGCTTGTTTTTAACTTGGAATGAAGAAGAGGCCTAGTTCTGTTTAGTTTTTTTTTTTTTTAATCAACTGCCTTAAACAAATGCAAATGTTGCTTGATGTATTGTTGATTGTGTCTGTCTTTTTTCCCATGATTTTTACTACCTTTGTAATTGACCCTTTCAGCTTGTCAGTGTCTTAGTTATTTTGATACTTGAATCTCATGTCTGTCCCTCCTCATGGTATATAATGTGTCTCATCCGGTGAACACTCACCATTTCCACCTCGACCCACATTTTACGGACTGTTTTCTTATAGGAAGCATTTCAGATCATCATGAATATGTGCTGTGATTGTGTTGTTCCAAAACAGCCAGACTTGACCGATCTACTGTATCAGTTTTCCCCCTGTATCATTAGTGTCCTGATACCAGAGGCGCACCTTACAGGCTATTAAAATATTAGATTGACAGGGTTTTTACTTTCTCTTTATTGTTATTAAAATGAGCATGATCTGTTGAACTCTGTCCTCTGTGTTCTTCTGGACTCAAGTGCACTTTTTCCATGTGTATATTGTGTACTTAATAATTAGTTTGAAGAGACGTGACCATATCATACTGTTTAGCTGCCAAAGGCAGGGAAAGACAAAATTGGTAACAAATGTTTTTTATGTTTGTTTTGAGTGAGTTATTTTTGTTTTTGTCTGGTCTGGACAACTAACAACTTTGTTGTCTGTTTGCTCAAATAAATGTACCTGTTTTGCTTGTGTCATTTGGGTGTTGAGGTGATTAGTTTACAATAACAAGACTTTTTAAATTAAACTTGAAGAAAGGTTATTGATATTTGATGGTCATATTTATTACCTCCCATGGCTGTTAGGGGGCGGCAGCTAACAGTCCTCTTTTATTCTGAAGGACAGTCCCGGAAGTGCATTACAACTTTAAACAGGCAGCGTTTCGGACGCCGCTGCTTACAAATTCCAAGTAATATTTCGACGTGAGCAACTTTAAGGGATATGGCCCAACACCTGAAAGACAAAGAAGCCTACCAAAGACTCAACTATCTTTACCAGGTTGGGAAAAGTTTAAATGTTTAATTTAAAACGTTAGCATAGCTCAAATGGCTAAAAGGCTAGCTGCCAAGCTAAATGGACATATACCGGTGTAACAGACTTTTCCTCCCCTCTCATCGTTTACAGGCTGCACATTGTGTTTTATCCCAAAACCCCAAAAATGTGGAACTCGCCCGCTTCTACTGTTTCACACAGAAAACAATTGCAAAACGTTTGGTACTCCGACAGTAAGTACAGTTGGTTAAAAGATGTTATGTTTTTCTGTTTTGAAGGCAGAACTATGAACTAATTAATTACGCAACTTCCGGTTGAGAAACAACGTAGCTTTTTTTATATGTGAAAAAACGGTATTGTCAATTATTCCACAGAAGTTGTAGATACTTTAACAAAGACTTCACGTTCAGTAATTTGGCAGTCATTAAGCATGTACGCTATCATACATTTGACGTTTCAGGTCTAAACTGTTAATCATATTAGTCAATCAATTATTTGGTAAATTTTCCATTGTTTTCTTGTTTCAAACATTGAGCTGTTAAACTGCACCATTGATCAAATCAGTTAGAAAAGCAGCAAACATCATCATGAACAGTAAAAGTTATATCCATTTATATTTGTTAAATCCACTGTAGACCAATGGATGCACATGGTCTTTTCCGAGGGCTGACAATGACTGTTCCTGGATTATGAGCACCTGTGGGGTATAGGGGGGTTACATTTCTCCTCCTATTGCCTGATGGAGAAATGCTATTTTACTTTGAATGAAATGCATTTAAAAACTGGGATAATGGTCAAAGACTAGAGGACTAACATATGATTGATTTTATTTCAGAGACCCATCAGTAAAGAGAACTTTATGCAAAAAGTGCTGTTCATTGCTCATTCCCGGTGTAACAGCTACAACAAGACAAAGAAGTGAGTCAGTTTGTCATTTTCCCTTTCACTTTGCATTGTCTTCTGACTGTCGCCCATTACTGAACAAAATTGAGTCAGTTTATGGCAGTTGCGTATATGATTCAGAGACTGATGCTAAAGCATTCCCCTTTTTTTTTTTCTTGTTTGGTCAGGGAAAAAAGGAAAGACCCGCTTCACGGTTGTGAGGTGTCTCAGTTGTGGCCAGAGCAAGACCCTGCTGAACAATCCAGATCACTGTTTATGGGCGGACCGACCCGAGGCACAGCTGGAGCAGCAAAAACAGCCAGGTGAGGCGGCAGAGCTTCAAAAAGGAGGATGGTTTGCAGAAAAAAACCACAGGGAAATGAGTCAACCCAGGATTTTAACTCTGAGTTTCATTCTTAAAATGATTGATAGTTAGTTGTTTTTTTTTTAATCCTTTCTCACAGATCCAGTCACGTCGGCTGAAAGTCAACCCAAACATCCAAAACATCCAAAGCCTGATGGATCACAGTCTTCTAAACCTGGTGCAGCTCAAACCTCTGCCTGCACATAGCAGCTGCAGTTCTTTGAGGGCTTTTTTTTTATTTAAAAAGGAAACACATTTTCCACTTAATTGTGTTACATATAGCATAAGATGATTTGAAAATTGTATGTTTCTGTTTTTGATTTTGAACATGCGCTGCTCAAAAAAAGAAATGTCTCCTTAAAAAGATACGGAAGACTAGATTTGGGCTAAATCCAATCCCAAATGTTTGCCCATTAGCCGCTCAGCTGAAGTTACCTTTTAACCATAGTTAGGGTTTTTGTTTATTTATTTTTTTTGCCAATGGAATAAATGCAATGTAAAATTTCAACAGTTCACATTTTCTTTTTTTCTGCCTTCTCTCCTTTTGGCACTCTGAAGCGTGTCTTCTGGAAGTACAGAAGGTTTTTGGCAAAGATCCTCGGAATATGGCCCATGTAAAGGAGAAGAGCCAAAGTCATGCCTAGAGAAGAGATAATCAGTTTTAAAACTTTCAAAGCAGTGACGACACAGACAAACTTAGTCGTCAGTTCTTTTGATTTACCTGTAAGAGAGCTGAGCCAGTAGACCACGGCATACTCGGTGAAGGTAAATCCCGGGCAGTGGAAGGTGAGCCCATACGCCAAAGATGGATTCATGTAAGCCGAAGTGTAGGTTTTGGCTGGAAAAAAAAGAGGAAAGGGAAGTTGTGTTAGGCTGTTTAACGATTTAAGAGGCAAGTGGGGCTAAAATAGGTCTTTGGGACATTTGTTGCACATATTATGAAATACATTTGGTTTCTTCTTTACATTAAATGCATTTTTTTTTAAAAGCATCAAACCCGTGTCAGCGCAGTAGTGATTAATTTGTTACGGCAGGTCTTACCAGTGTAGGACAGGAACGTGAGGAGGACGGCGATCAGGGGGACCCGGATCAGAGCCGATCTGCGTCTCAGGCTCAAGTGAACCAGGTGCAAGATGAGCGCACAGGTGCACTCCGTAAAGAAGCCCTGAAGCACAGGGACCTGCAGGGACGTACTGCACTCGCTGGTCATCAGGTTTTTGATCATGTGCATGTCGGTCAGCTCCAGGCCCCAGTAGAACACGGCCACAAGGAGGGCCAGGTGCGCCCCGGCAAAGTGAGCCGCCACGGCGAGCAGGGTGGGCAGGAAGGAAGCCTCCAGCTGCAGGAACTTCTGCACAGCCAGGCTCGGATTCCCCGACGTCCCGCCACAAATCACACCATGGGTCAGCAGCACCACAAACAGTATGGTCACCGTCACATCAGGACCCAGGCCCCCGGCCCACTCGCCCACCTCCACTATGGTCTGCACCTCCAGCCAACACGCGACCAGCATGAATGAGGAGGAAAACTCTGAAACAAAGCTGAACCGAGGCCATTTTCTAAGAAGTGCTCTGACAAAGGCTGCAAAGATCACAGCAGAAAGGAAGTATCCGAGGGAAGCATTAAGTCCAGACATGGTTCAGGTGGTGTCCCTTCCTTTGTCACTCTCCCACAAACAGAAACGAAGCGTCGGGTTGCCTCCACAAACCTTCCTCTGTGTTTGAAAACGTGGCACATGCACGGACACATTTCTTATCAGAGACACGTCAGGTTTTGATCCCAGAGACCACCTGCCAAAATACACACGGGTTTTTACAAGGTCAGGTCAGGGAGTTGGCCCTCAGTTGGTGGACATTTGTCATTAAATCAAAACTTTGGTTGAGTGATTCATTCCTAGCTTTCAAATAATTCTAATCTAAAACCTGTTTTTCCCATGTATAAAGGCAACATATTAAAGGATCAAAACAATGTTGTCACCTTGTCTGATAACAGGACCAAATGTTTTATGATTAGCAACACTGCTCAAAAGTGTGAGTAAAGATAGAAGGGGTTTGTAATGTCTGTAAAGACTATTAATGCTACACATTTATAAAAATGGTCAATCTATTTTCAATTACAAACTTGCCTGATTTGTCAAGTCTAGTAAAACTACATTCGGTTGTACCAGAATATCACCCATGGTCCACTGGTTATCTGGGGTCGGGTCGGGGGGCAGCAGCCTGAGCAGGGAAACCCAGACCTCCCTCCCCCCCCCCCCGCCACTTCTGCCCGCTCCTCCGGGGGGAAACCAAGGCCTTCCCAGGCCCGCCCGGAGACATAGTCCCTCCAGCGTGCCCTTGGTCTTCCCCTGGGTCTCCTCCTGGTGGGACGTGCCCGGAATACCTCACCGGGGAGGCATTCTAATCAAATGCCTGAGCCACCTCAACTTGCTCTTCTCAACGTGGTGAGCAGCGGTTCTACTCTGAGCTCAGAGTGCCCTGTAAGACTTTCATATCTTAAACGTCTGAATTGGAAAGGTCCCTACCGCACACTATTCTTCCTGTCTCCAATTGTTTGTTTAAAAGTTCAAATTCGACAGCATAAGTAGAATTTGGTGCCATTTTTTTCTATTGCTGCTGGTTAAAACTCTGACTGTTCTACAAGACTGGAACAAATCCAATTAGATGCCAGCAATGAATTAATGGTCTTGCTGATTCCTGATTGGATAAAGGGGATCCTACGTCAGTCGATAAACCAGGAAATGATTTTCTGTCAGCCCAGTGCGTTCATGGATGGGTAGTGTGGGGGTGGTAGTAAAGCTGCCGAAATGCTAACAACTCCAACAAGTACTTGCTTCAGTTTCCCAACAGCCTGGGGAATATTTTTGCCTCTTAGCTGGAAGCTTCTTCGGCAGTTTCAGCTTCGCATATGAGCGTCGGTCGCTTCCAAAGACCTCAGCCGGACGTCTCATTTAATTAATTTACACGTAACAAAAAAAACACACCAGTTGCCCGGTGATGTTCAGACTTGCAGAGGAAGTTGGGACACGCCGATACCCTGGGGGGGGTTGTGTGTGTATGCGTGCGTGCGTGCGCGCGCGCGCCAGTGGGTGAGCCCCTGAAGTGATGGCAGGGGAAGAGGCGACACTCACAGAGGAATGAGAGCTTTTTGGGAATGGCGGACAAACCGTCGGCGCTGTTCGTGAAGCTGTTCGCCGCCGTCTTCTACGGTCTGAGCTCCTTTCTCATCGTCGTGGTGAACAAAAGCGTCCTCACTAACTACAGGTAACGGTCTCGGCGGCGCCTACGCGGTGGCTGCCATGTTGGCTAGCAGAGCCGTTGGAAGTTGACCGGGGTAGCGGAGCCAGCACCGCGGAGTTCATTAGCTCGACTTTTTTTGGGCTAACGGGGTCAGGCACGGGAGGGGGGGGGCTTAACTTTTATCCAGTGTTTTATTAAACGGTAGCTTATCCTTTCGGCGTTGAGTTCACTGCACGTTATTTTGCTTTTAGAACCTTAACATCCACTGAAAGCTCAACTTTGCTGTTTCAGGTTCCCCTCCTCAATATGTGTCGGGATAGGACAAGTAAGTTGCCGCTTTTGAAAAAAAAAAAATACACGTGACTCTTTAAATGGTCACATTCATTTCTATACCCTTGTGTGTGCGTGTGTGTGTGTACGTGCGCGTGTACAGATGTTGGCCACAGTAATCGTGCTGTGGGTGGGCAAGGCTGCGAGGGTGATCACCTTCCCGGACTTCGATGAGAGCATACCTCACAAGGTGGGCCCCTCAGTAATGTCCAGTCCCGACCTGACCACAGCCAGTCTCTCTACTTTGCTGTGAGGTCTTAACGCACCCTGTTTGTTTTTGCAGACTTTTCCACTACCTCTCCTGTTTGTGGGAAATCAAATCACTGGTTTGCTGGGCACCAAAAGGCTGAAGTGAGTTCTCAACCATGTTCTAACCAGAGCCGAACGCCAGTTGAGGCCACAACGGCTCACCACCTGTGTCCTCTTTCACCAGTTTGCCGATGTTCACTGTCCTGAGGAGGTTCTCCATCCTGTTCACGATGCTGGCCGAGGGAATTCTGCTGAAGTATGAGCTCTTGTGCCAGATAGCCTACTTTTCTCAGTCGTTTGCAGGTTGTTTTGTTGCGTGTGAGGCCAAACCTTTTGTCTGGCTGCAGCGGCCTTTGTTTTACATCTGAAAGCAGACGGATTGAATTTCCTTGTGTTTTGACCAATGACAGGAAGAAGTTCTCCAGGCCGGTCCAGCTGACGGTGTTCACAATGATCCTCGGGGCGTTTATCGCTGCCAGGTGGGTGCTGCTGGTTCCAGGTGTCCCGGCCTGTACCAGGACCAGCATTAGCCTCGTTACAAAGGGGGGCCTCGTCTTGATCTATGCTCGCGCTGAGTTGCCGGAAGCTTCAGGGTTCATTACATGCACATCTGTACATCTGCAGTGAAAGTAGCTCTGCCGAAAATTGTTGGTTCCAGAGTGCTTGTTTGACGTGTTCCGCTGTCTGTGATGTAGTGCCGACTTGTCCTTTGACCTGCAAGGCTACGTCTTCATCCTCCTGAACGACATCCTGACCGCAGCCAATGGGGCCTACGTGAAACAAAAATTAGATGCCAAGGTATGTGGCTGCAGTGTCTGATGAATGGCCGCCATTGTCTGGATGGGAGCTGGAGTGGATGTTGACAGAGGAGAAGCCAAACTGTCTCTCAGGGTCTTAATTTTTTTTAGGATCACAAACATACCAAGTTAGTCCTTCTCTTCCCCCCCCCCCATCTTTTATTACGAAAAAAAAAAAGAACCAACAGTTTAGGCTTTACTTTTTTACACGCACAGGCTAAACTGAGGTGTGTAGTAAGTAGAGAAACTTGCATTAAAAACATCCAAGTATCCCAAAACACGGCTTTACTCCTCAGATCAACTTGTTGATGCATCTCATAGCTTAGTGTCATTTATTTTTGTAACTTTTTTAGTTTTATGTCACAATTAAAACGTGTACCGAGCTAAACTGGGGTGTTTTGTGAGCAAAATCTGGCCGAGATGGATTCGGGCTGGGCTTTCAGACAGTGCTGTGGCTTGGCCATGCATGACATCTGTATGTATGCTGGTTAGTGAGGAATGCGTAGAAAAATTCATGAATAAGTCTCTGTTCTGTTGCTCCTTTTTTTTGTATTTCTCCTGCTCATTTTCTGTCCGTTTTCTCTGCTCTTTTTCTCTCTTCAGGAGTTGGGAAAATATGGATTATTGTACTATAACGCTTTATTTATGATCGTCCCCACCCTGCTGTTGGCCCATGTGACTGGAGAAATGCAGAAGGTGAGCAGTTGGACTTCCAGCTGCCTGTCGGTTATGGAAAGGTTGCATCCCAAAATTAAACCAGAGCACTTGTGTGTAACCATGGCTGTAAATATGAGCTTTCCCCACCCCCACTTTTTTTCCCTTTGGTCAGTCTTGGCAGAAACATACTGGTCTGCCCAGCTGGGGCCAAGAGGCCTGTAAAGCACAAAGATGCTATTATGCACCTAGCAAACGTATTGCAGCAGCGTCTGCACCTTCCCCTGACGGACCGGCCACGCCGCAGACACACACAAACACTCTCTAAAAGCTAATGGACACTGTGCTGCATTATCCCGTCTGGGGGAGCCAGCCGGTGTCCTCGGTGCTGCCCGGATAGCCGTTTCTGATTGGCTGATTTAACCTCTGTATACAGTGACTGAATTCATCCCTTTTTTTCTTATTTTTTTTTTTATGCAAACTTGCTTTCTTTGCCGTGTTTCTGACCTCAGGCAGCTGAGTTTGACGGCTGGTCAGATGCCATTTTCCTCTCTCAGTTCATCCTCTCCTGTGTCATGGGGTAAGCTAATAACCCACATGGGTTTCGTACAGATTTCCTCTCCTCTGTGTGCCCGAAGCTCACAATAACAGCGGCTCTTCGGATGCGATCGATTGAATGAAATCTGATTTGAGGCTGGAACACGTTTGCAGGTAAACAGCATCTCCTCCCCTTTCAGGTTCGTCCTGATGTACTCCACCGTGCTGTGCACACAGTACAACTCGGCCTTGACCACGACCATCGTGGGGTGCATCAAGGTGAGCCGCGAGGAGGGAACGAGCTGAGCTGAGGGGAGAACACCCGCCTCATTTAAATCTCCATTTGTCTTCTCCAGAATGTGCTGGTGACGTACATCGGCATGGTGTTCAGCGGAGATTACATTTTCTCTTGGACTAACTTCATTGGTCTGAACATCAGGTATGGAGTTCTGGGGCTGTCTGCTTCCTTTCTCCATCTAAATGTTTAGTCTTGTTGAAGCGCACGCGGGACCAGTGTGAGGCCACACCCGTCCTCAGATGTTAGTTCTTGTGCAACAGCAGGTGAAAGTCTCGTCAACACTTCCTTTAGTAGGTGTACTGCAAGTGTCTAACAAAAACCAGACTGGTCTCTCCTCTAGTGCCACCATGAGGTTGACTTTAGTAGCTACAGCTGGGATATCAACAGCGGTTGACTGAGGGACTTTGAGAATTAATGGCATTCTTTCAGTTTGCAGTGATGTTTTTAGTGCCATTGTTGGGTTGAAGTAATTTCAAGGTTCATTAAAAACTTGGTGACTGACATCGCTATCACCTGTAGCAGCAAACGCATCAAAGCGTCTTTCTCGAGTCTCTAAAACGTCTGTTTGAAATCTGTGTTCTCTCTCCTCCCGCTGTTGTAACTGGGCCTGTGTGTCGCCGCAGCATCGCCGGCAGCCTGGTGTACTCGTACATCACCCTCACCGAGGAGCAGTCCAGCAAAGCAAGCGACAACACCAAGCTGGACATCAAGGGCAAAGTGGTTGTGTGACACTGGATTTCCACCCAAAAAACAAACAAAAGGTTTTTACTGGGACTTATTTATGGAGTGTTTTTAAGCAGCTAATGCACAGCATTGGCAGGAGATTTGCTCCACGAACAGATTTTTGATGGAAATGGAGCTCCCGCGGTTACCATGGTTTCAAAACTTTCCACAGGGAATTGCAGGCTTTTATTTTTTTTAACGCTGTTTTCTTTGTATGTACTTTATTGTTGATGCTGTACTTGTTTAAGGTTTTAACAAACAAGGGAACTGATGGTATTTATATGGACTTTCTGATATTTAGACTAACTGAACATCTCACGCTTCAGTTCTTGAGACGACATTATGTCTCCTGAGCACGGGAGTGAGCAGCCGCTGTAGCTTTTGTGTTGACACAGTCACTGTTTTGTTTTATTTTTCTAAATAATTTAAAGGCACAACACTTGTTTTGTGCATTTTTTTTTTCTGGTTTGCTGTTTACAGGGAATGTATCTTCAGAGGCTTACTGAGCACAGGGAGATGCACTGACATGCACTGTCGTTCATTCTTTAGCCTCCAGCTTTCTTTTTCTTTCCTCCTTTTGCATTATTACTTTTTTTTTTTCTTAACAGCTATTTAACCTCATCCTTCAAACAACCAAATTGGATGGGCAGCGGTTTGGTTTCCTGTTCATGATCGTGGCTTTAAATCATGTTACTGCCTCCCTATGTTTTTGGGAGATTATTATAAATCTGTTTTAAGTTGTTTGTTTTTTTGTTTTTATTCCATCAGTATTATAGATGGTCACACACTCCCGAAGGCTGCAACTGCCAAGTCCACAAAAATTCTTGTTGCTTGCACAAGGGCACGTGGACAGTGTTTTTTGCACTTTTAACAGGTAACGCCTGCAAAAAAAAAAGTGGAAAAGAATTCATTAGCAAGATTTAGAATGGATTGAGTGTTGGGACTGGTACTTGGTTATTTAAGCATTTAATTATCAAGTAGGAGTGCTGACTTTGTTTTTCCTATGTGTATTGTTTTCTATTTATTACTTGTAGGTGTCTGTGTAGGTGGAGTGATGTCAGTTGTGGCTGGTACGATCTCAAAGTAATTTGTAGCTAATAACTGATGTATTTTTACATAAAAAAAAACTTGACTTGTTTATATATATTTTTTTTCCTTTTTTTTCCGGGTGGTGCTTCTTTAAATATAGGGATGCGAACAGGCAATCACATTAGACGACTTCTTTCAATCCTGTGTATAAAGTGTTTTGGAAAAGGTGACATGTCAAATTAATACAAAATTTTTAATACAAAATTTAGATCGCACCAGTGAAAACAATATTTGATACAAGCTCACAGGATCCCCCTTTGTTCTTTATGTACATTTGGTGTCAAGTCACAAAAACATTTGATCTGAACCCATTCTAAACCTGGCTTGAGGAGTTGCCCACAAAGTGTCAAATGTTTACTGTGCATACATGCACATCCATGCACTGTAAACTCTCTGAGCTTGCAGGCAGCATCACACCAAGTGCACAGTTTAGAACCCCCCCCCCCTAAAAAAGTTGCATTGTTTTTTGCCAGCTGCTGCCACGTAAATTCAGCCTCGCTCGTCACGTCAGAATAGAGAAAGCTTATTTTCAGAATGTGATGTGCCTTTGCTGTGTATAGCTTGTTTTTTTATTTTTTTATAAAAACCCATGGTTCACACAGACGTCTTATCAGGGAAGCCAGAAGAGAAGACGACACACCGGTCACAGGAGGTGTGGACAGAGCCGGCCGTGGCTGAGGACCAGAGTACGGCTTACAAGTCTTTTGGCTTCAGGTAACGCCTGCATATTACAGATTACAGTCCAACCAAAGACCCATGATGTGCAGCTATAACAAGTGTTAAATAAAAACAATCAAAGCATACTACAGATTTCCAAGATAAACACCACTAGTCTTTAAAAGGGTTCACTGGTACATAGAAAACGTGATGTCCCTCAGAGGCACACTGGAAGGTAAAAACAGTCGGAGGTTGCTCAGTAAAGTGGTCAGACCTCATTCAGGTCAGCAAATGGACCGTCCCCTGAAGCCCTGTGAATGCGTTTTTCAACCCCTGCGTCATTGTCCCTTCAGTTTGTACTGCCATGAACAAATCCCACCACTCACAAAAGCTTTGGCATACTTGGCTCCTCGTTAGAGGACAGCAAGTCGTGCAAAAAGTCCTGAGACGTTTAACAGTTTGGACGTGTGCAGTTAAAGGCTTAAAGGTCACTTGGAAGTTGACCTCCAAAGGTTATAGTGCATTTTAGGTTCATCCTGAAGTTTCTACCGAAAGCCAATTACCCCTAACTTTGTGTGAGTGGTAGTAAGAGATGTTAAAGCTCCTGCTTAAGATCACAGAGCAACAGGGAGGAGGCTGTGCTGCCTAAGCCGGTGCAGTCGGGTTTCCAACTGTCCTGTCTGATCTGCATTGTAATGTTGCACATTTAAAAAAGAAAAAAAAAAAGGACGGAAGAAAAGAATGCCAATGACAACAACAAAAAAAACAACCTTCAAGTTTGCAAGAGGTTCCACCTTCGCTTGAGGTGCTTTTCACCTGTTGAAAAAGCCATAAACAACGCGTCCCACACCCTGAGCTGACCACATCCCACAGCCTTTGCCGTGTGCTCCCAGCCAGGCCACAGAGATGAACCTTATGAGCACTGGCCAAGAGCTGTTCTCTCCAAGGTTCACCTCCAATCTGCTTTAGTTACAGCAACACGTCAAACATGAGGCAGCTGGAATCAACCAGCCGAGCCACTTCTGCCAACCAGCCCGACCTGCTCCTGCTCTGCCTCACCCCTCTTTCACCGGCCATCCCCAGTGGATCCTACTCCTGGGATGGCGCTCATCTATTTTGGGTGACCTAAAAGGACACACGGACCCCCCTTTCTCACAGCGGTGGCAGAACGGGGGGCTAAAGATAGTACAGCTCCTCACACCCAAACGCAAAGCGCACACAGGTCCTGCTCTCACGGTGACAGAGCGAGCCGGACAAACCTGTGGCACCACTATGTGAACGATGTATTGACACTCCACCCACTGAGGGAGAGCGGGAGGGAACGGCTGGGGAAAGTGTTCAACGCATCAAGCCTCTTCTCACAGCGTGCCCTTTGGCACGTTAAATAAAAACTTTATAAACGAATCACCTGTTCTAAGGTAACTGCGAGGTACCGTTTCATGATGGCAAAGGTAAAAATATAACTGGAAATTTCAAGGCAGCCACCACACGGTCATCTAGGTGAAAGGTCACTGATTCATCTCTGCAATAAGGGCTGCTTGTGAATGAGGCTGTGTCCTATCATTACTCTCACAGACATTTTACCTCCTATTAGAGGAACACGTATATAAAAAAAAAAATACAAATAAAACAAAGACTTCTATGTCAGCTTCACCGAAAATAAAAGGGGGGGGTCTGTATCTGGGGTTTGGGGCGAGTTACACAGTCCAGCTGTGGTGTGGGGATGTTACAGAGTAACCAGGTTCTCGGCCATGTAGCAGAGGCTGTAGAAGTTGCAGCCGATGCAGCAGAGGTTACACAGGGAGGACATGAGTCTGTACAGCCACAGGCGGCTGCTCAGGTGTCGGTACTTGACGTCGGTCTCGCACAGCTTGGCATAAGCCTCGCGATTCGACGACAGGCCGATGTCCTGTCCCAACCCACAGGCCTGCTCGATCAGATGCATGTCCGCCATGATCTCCGACGTCATCTGGCCGAACCACTGCGCGTTGACGGCCGCGACCGTCACCGACACGAAGAAGATGAAGATCTGGCAGCGAGGAGAGGAGGCAGAGGTTTGAGGAGTGTCAGAAAATGGGAAATGTGCATGATTTTGATGGCCGGGCGGAAAACTAAAGTACCTGAAAGGCCTCTCTGTCGTCTAGCATGTCCCTGGGATGGTACACAGCATAGATGGTGAGGTTAAAGAAGGCACAAGCTGAACCCAGGTGGAGGTAGAACGGCACCAGGCGACTCTGAATAAACCCATATGTGTGTCTGTTCAGGTGGTTGTCCATCACAAAGCCTGCGCAGAAATCCAAACACAGACACTTAATTGACTTTTAGCTTTTTTTTCCCCAGATGACTGCGTTAGTAACTTGCCTTCTCTGAGATTTACCTTTACCATATTTATGCTTTTTCAACACGCCAAAGTGGTGTTTCAGATTGCACGTGACCTCTCACACAAACACACACACATTGTGCTGCAGACGACACCATAGAGGGTGTCACAAGGGAAAGAGTCACACAATAACACTCCTTACGGGCAGATAACACTCGTTGCCGTCCATAAGAAACAAGTGTTCCTTATAAGCGCCAACATCATCCATGCTTTCAAAATACCGTCAAAAGAAAAAGGTCTATGTGTATGTGTGTATAATGCCTACTTGAAATGAAGGTGACCCAGATCTGCATTCCCCAGTAGGTTGACAGCAGCAGGAGCTGCAGCAGCTTCACCGTCAGCGTGGGCTCCTGGTCAGTGGTCATGGTTTCTCCTCCGGCTTTGTCCTGGGCTCCACTGCAGTTGGCAAAACAGCACCGTCTAGAAAGGCAGGTAATACAGTCACTTCTTTTCTTTTCTTTTATCTGGAAAGCGATGTTGCTTCACTCCAAGGTCTCTGCAAACACTAAAGGATCGTTTGAAGCTGGAATTAATGGGAAATTAGCTGGATCTTCCCACCCCAATCCCCAAAATCCATTCATCCACTGTGCACAGGGTTGGGTCGCAGGGGCAGCAGCTGAACCAGGGAAACCCAGACTTCCCTCTCTCCTGCCACTTCTGCCATTTATATCATTATTTTTCAGCCTTTCTGATAGACATGGGGGCCAGTTTGTGTAGCGTCTCTACTAACTCACCCAAGCAACACGTTACCCTGTACCATCCCTCGGTGTTAACATCAGGGAAGGGCTGTGTGTACCCTTAAGGGTGTAGAAACTTCCGCATTGTTGTCAAGGTAACTGCGTTTATGACTTGACCTTACCTAGTTTGTAGACGTCCGTAACTAATACATTTTAAATACGACGAAATAGACGGAAATTAAATGGAATATACGCTAAAGTTGGAAAATTGTTCTTGTCAATTGTTTGCCAAGAGCTTACGAAGACTAAAAGTTACTTAGGAAAAAAACTCAAAGTCACCTTAGGGAAAAATTTGTCAATGGGCGTAGGTGAACTGAGGAGTGTTAAGTTTAGATTAAACAGTCACTAGCTGCAAAATACTTGCTTCTAAACTGAAAGTGCGACTTGAAGTTGAGTCTGCTCTATCTTAAGACACATTAACGAGTAACTCGCGTCCTTCGTGCGTCACTGTTAAAATGAAAACACAAGACTCATTCTTCAGCTTCGACGTAAAAAAACACAGCCTACCTGCGTTGGTTGGGACTCCGGCTCCGAACCGTAAACTTTTGGCCGCCTGACAGTCCGCCTTCAACCCGGGAGCTCACTCTCTGCAGGGCTCAGCGGGGAAACAGGGCGGAAACCTCCAGACCCGGGATGTGCACTGGGAAATTCAGCCCCGAAGCCTCGAGCAGCAGAAAGTAGTTCCCCACAGTTCAGGTGACACAAACCCCGTTCTCGCGAGATACAAGAAATACTAGTCCGGTGCATAAAGCTAAACTCGTTTCTTTCTTTTTTTTCTGAGGTCCAAAAGCAGTCTGGCTGCAACAAAAGAGAACAAGGACCAATTTCCCGTGGTTTGGTATAATTTATTAAATGCAAACACCTCAAATGGTAAAACAAAATGAGCAAAACTTGCATTTAGATACATAGACTAATTTGGTCAGCAACCCATCACCAGCCTTTTTGGTGAGGGGTTTTATTTAAAAATATTATTTTGGGTGCAGTTTCCTCTTATAAAATGTATTTAAATACTTTATTTTAAAAGTATTTTTTTTAAATAGACGTTCTGCTGGTGAAGGGGTTATGTTATTGGAGGAGACGAGGCAATAAGACAATAATGGTTATAGGAAAAGTAGGACATTCAGTATCAGTAAAGAGGCACATGGTATTCAAACACGAATATCAACATATACTGAAAGAGGAAAAAAAACGGATTTGTGATTGACAATGATCAAAAAGCCACCACAGGCTTCTAAAATCCGTTTTTGTGCTGCATTGTTGCTTTGAGAACTTGTATAAGACGGCCACAAGGTGGTTGCTGTCACCGTTCGTGCGTGACTGTCGTGCTGAGAAGAGGGTCAGTGACGGGCAGATTTGCAGATTTTATCATACACCTCTGGGAAGGCTTGCTTACAGCCTAACTCATCTCTCAGTTTGTGGTAGAGCTGTCCATCAAACATCTCCCAAAACTCCTCTCGATCCATGTACACATCTGCATACAGCATCTGGAAGCTACACATCAAGAGGGAAAAAAACAGGTCATTGCTCTCCCTAGAACCCAGATAAACTGTGTGTGTTGCGACAGCTGAAATGATTTCATGTGAGACTTACCCATGCACATCTCTAACAAACTTCTCCAGCTGACGCGTTGACGATCGAGCTTCAAAATGTTTGACTTTGGGCTCCCCGTAAGCGCCAATATCCACAAAAAGCTCTTCCTGTTGACCTTTGGGGTGAACCATCCCTCTTCCCGGTGGTAACAGGAATGGACACAGCCACAGAGGATAGACCTAACAGAGCAGAGGTCATTATAGGTTTATATAGAAAATTATTTTTTTTAAAAGAGTACAATCCATGTCCCTGTTCAAGCCTCACATTGATGTCCTGGTGGAAGCGTGTGATGGCGGCCTGCAGATGCTTCATGGGCACCAGCATGTCCTGCACCACGTGATTCTGTTCGTAAAGACGCCTGATGGTTTCTCCCTGCGTGAGCTTCAGCAGGGAAATCTTTGGAGGTACCATCCACCCAAAAAGCCAACGGAAAACAGGGTTGTTCCCGAATGGAATGATATCCTGGAGAGATGCCGCAAATGCAAAGGGCAACATCCAAAAATGGTTAAAGGGCATGACAGAAAATTCCATGACCATATTTCTAGTCATTTCCATCCAAGTCTTATTCTATATGTTTATATTTGATGGTTACAATTTCATTGTATCCACTCAAACTAACTAATTGTACTGTAAATATGAGTTCCTAAATTCTGTCATATCCATCCCATTTCATTCAACTTTTGGCTTTAACTTCTTATAATTGCAAGTTGCATAACTGTGCAACTTCTTTGTGGCTTTGCAGCTTCTCATATCGTTGTTTCCTCATTGCACGTGCAAATGGACTGAACCGTCCCACCAAGCGGGAAGTCAGGATTGGTTCTTAGAATTCGGATTATTTAAACCATCTGACCTCTTTTTCGTGTGAGCGACAGTGGTGGTCTGCAGGTTAGAAAACTGAATTGTTCACAACACATTATCAAAACTCAAAATTTTCAATTGAGAAATCTGAAAGGATTTTTAATCTGCTACACGCATGAATTAGCATCAAAACCATAAGGTATCATTTAGAAAAGATCTATTATTTCTATCGAGTAACATAAAATAGAAGAATATTATGGTAATTAAAATTCTATATTTGGAAAGTTGGTGTAATGGCTTTGCCACATTTTATATTGGCTTTCTATGTAAGCATCTCTCCCAGCAGTGTTCACCTTTTATCCTGGAACAACCATTCCACCAGAGGGCAGTGGAAAACCGCCAATCCCTGTCTAACGTCACCACAACTCACACATCCTCAACCGTCTGCCCTATTTCTGTCTTCCTACCTCTCGGCAGCGTGAACGAAGACTAAACCCTTAATCCTTTGAAAAACCGAGCAGCATAAAAGCTGGGGGAACACTTCTTTAGGTGTCTGCCAAACCAGTGACATGCATAATTCAGCAGGGTCTTTTCACCGCTATGGAAATAGAGCATTCCGGGCTGCTCTCTCTCTCTCACTAATGGCAAATGGTTTGTGTGTGTGTGTGTGTGTGTGTGCAAGAGTGTGTTCGTTTGGATCGGTGTGACAGGAAGTTTGAGCATTAGAATGTTAGAGACTAATATAGAGAAAGAGAAAGGAGTAGAGAGTATATATTTATATATATATATATATATATATTATATTTGTATTCAAGTAAGAGTGAGAGGCTGTGGTGTGTGTTTTTGAGTACCTGGAGCTCCCAGAAGATGCTGCGTGTGTGTCTGTGATAGTACTGCCTCAAAGGGATGTATTCAACCCCAGAGCAGTCTCCCGTCAGGTATCCCTCCACGTGTTTAAAGAACCAGGGTTTGAAGTGCAGGCCGATTCTGTTGATCTGATGTCACAGAGGGAAACACAGCTCTGAGTGTAAGAAAGAGCGTAATGGAATAAACACACACACACACCCAGGGCTTACCTTGTCCGGCTCCGCGTGGTCAGCCATGGTTCCCGTCATGATGACTGCTCTGTCCAGGCCGTACTGGATGCCCTCCACGAAGGTGTTCCCTTTGTCCGCCGACGCCTCGGCGAAGGCCTTGCAGATGTTGTCCAGGCCCCGGACCGGCCGGTAGCGCAGCTTCACCCACGCTTTGGCCGGCACGATCTTGATCTCCGCCGCCACCAGGAAACCCAGAGTCCCGCAGGACCAGGGGACGGCGTGGAACAGGTCCGAGTTCTCCTCCTGAGGGGAGGGAAATCAGCCGAAGCCTTCAGCCTTTGACCAGAAACCATCTCTCTGACACTATAAAGACCCTTAAAGGTCTATTATATTTACTAATGCAGCTACCGTGTATCACTTTAGAACGTAAAGCTGTGAAGCAAAAACAGAAACGATAGACATCGTGTAGTTTAAAAATGTCTAAAAAAGGTTAAATTACCTATTTTTAAAGTTTCTGAATCATGTGGTGGGACGGATGTTTCACTTAAACCTTTCACTTACAAACGATTTAAGCTAACTATGATGTAAATAAAAGTCCACGGCCATCTACACACCATGCTTCAGACATAAAAACAAGGCAGTAGATACCCCCTTTTTCCTCGGTGCAATCAGGAAAACAAACTACTGGAGGAATGATCCTCAGATGTAGACTCTCGAGATGCTGCCGGACGCGGGCCGACACGGCCGGCGAACCCTTTATGAACGCAAACGGCCCTGAAAAGGCGCCCGCCGTGCTTTGTACCTGGGTACAGCGCACCAGGCTGCCGTCGGCCAGCACCAGCTCGTAGGCCACGCAGATGTGCTGGAACAGCCCGTAGATATGGGAGGACGACTCGATCCCCGTGCCCATCACCAGCCCGCCTGGCAGATGAGAGGGAGGAAAAAAACAGAGAGATAAAGAGAGAGAGATGCTGTGGTGTAATTCAATTTCGGCCCTTGTGAGGACAACGGCACACGGGCGAGCGGCGGGCAGCTGTGGAGAGGCACAACGGTGCGGACATCAGGGTAAACTAATGTACCGCCGCCTGATGGGAAAACATTAGGCAGCCGGGGGAGCAGTTTATAGCATCAGGAAATCCATTATGCAACCCTATCCAGGGCTGCCAGCCACGCCGAGGCCATTTCCTCCCCCCGCCGCGTCTCTGGGGCCGCGCCGCTCGGCCCTTTAACGCGATTAGAGGAGAAGACGCCGGGGCTCTGAGCAGGATGCCGGGATTAATGGGAGGAGACAAGGACCCCGAAAAAAAAAGCCGGGGCGGTCGCTGGCCAGAGGCCCCCCACCTACCCACTGTCAGGTCGTCCAGCTCCGGCAGCACCGGCAGCGTCCAGCCGATGGAGTTGAGGATGGCGGTCACCTGGCCCATGTTGGCCAGAGGTTCCACCCTCACCACCTAGAGGGGAGAAAGAAAAGAGCGCTGTTGGGATCTCTGAGGCCTGAAACAGGATTACGCATCCCAAAAGTGACCGCTACATCCTCAGAGGCCCTTTATACTGACCACCCCGATGCATTAACAACTGATTTAAACCTTATAGGACCACCATCAGTGTCATATGCAATGGGAACCTTTGGCTGGTCAGAGAGGGCCAGAGGGAGGCATGGACAGGGAGAAACGGGGGGGATTCTGTGAGATGTCCAGCTGGGGGGCATACCTGCCTGTGCGTGTCCACCTCCAGGATGTCCATCATGTTGATCATGATGTTCTTGTGCGTTTTCTTGTATTTCCCCACCCGGAGGGACACGGTGAGCCAGCCGGGCCGACCCGTGCACATGTGGGTCTTCCCCCCCTCTTTGCTCCACTCGCGCACCTACAGGGAGGAGCAGAGCACGGGGGCAACCAATCAGGGACCGGAACACGTGCAGAGAAACTTTAAAGTGTGCACGCCAATAGCAATCCAAATCAATAATCAACTAATAATCTGTGGACTTTGAAATAAATCGGCCTTTTGATCCCTTTGTGGAAAATGGATTGAGACTCATTTTGCATGACTGTCTGAGGTTTGATTGCAGCTTTAAGAGTGCTCACCTGTCTCTGGATGTCGCGCACGCGCTGGTCGTGCAGTTTGGGCGCCGAGCACATCTTAAAGATGATCCGCGCCCTCACGTAGTAGTACACGTCGAACACCACGGAGAGGGGCAGCAGGAACAGGCACACGAAGATCCACCTCTGGTGCACGATCACGTAATCGAGACCTTTGACTCTGATCCACAGCAGGAACAGGACCAGCAAAACCCCCACGGACACGAGCGGCTCCATGGTACTGGTCAGCAACGCGCGGAGACCCGATCACCTCTCAGCCCGGAGATCCCGATTCTATTTTTTTTATTATTATTGATCAAACCAACCCCAAATCCCAACTCCTGATCACCCCCTCCACCGCGATAGGTGAGCGAGGAGAGGTGGTCCACAAAGCCCTAACCCCTGACTCACGCCGATTGGTTGATGTTTGCGTGGAGGCGGGGCTTGACCCTGAGGCTCCATGCTTATTGGCCGAACAGAAAAATGCAGAGAAATCCAGAGGCAGAGCGTTTTTATCGTTCCACCAATCAGAAGGCGCGCAGGGTGTCACACCATGCCCTCCACAGGCCCAGGAGCAAAGTTACAAACTGCACACATCAGGTTTAGGGATCTGTTTATGCAAGTTTCATTGTCAAAGCAGAGCTAAAAACTGTTATATCACCATATTTAATCATTTTCAGAACACGAATGTATGCAGATGTGAAGATAATGATATATCAGAGCTCATTCTTATGACTGTCATGATGCTGCTGGCTCCTCAGATGAAGAAATGACTCCCTACTGCCCGAAAACCCAGGCTTCTATGGGGGAGTTGTCATTTTTCAGACCGCTTCTAAATTTCAACTGTGGTTTTCTCATCATCTATTCAGTGCACTGAACACCATGCGGCCCACACAAATAAAGTAAACCTAAGCGCTATGATCATTAAATAAAAAACGTCTTGTGTGTTTTTGTGCAGAGGACCTAAACCGACAGAGTTAAAAATAGAAGCAGAGACACACACTTGTCCTAATGAATAAATCAGGCTGATGGAAATGCACCAATTAAATGATGAAATGTGACATAATTCTATGTCTTCACTCCAATTTCCACCTGCAAGAACTATTTCAGTGACATATTTAATCATTTTCAAGCCTTTATTTGTTACTGTTCTATTTTCCCCTGATTTTTATAGCTATTTCCAGCTTATTAGACATTCAAACAATTTAGTTAAATTAAAGAAAATTGATTATTTCTGATTTTTAAAAATAAAATGTTATCCATAGTCTTTTATCTGTAATGCCTTTACATCTCTTTTATTTTTTCCCTTCAGTTTTCTTGCAGGACATCAGGCTTGAGAAGCGCTGTTACGGTCAGACACAGTCGGAAATGCATCTGGGCAGCTGACCTTAACCTCTAGAGTGTTCCTCCACAAATTGACCATTACACATGGGGGAGTAAGTGACTGAGTAAAGCAATGAACAAACCAAACAGTATGCTACAGAACGGTTAGTTTTTTTTCTTTCTTTTTTTTGCCTTCTTGGACCTATATGTCATCATCTTATTAAACCTTTTCAAAAAGTCAGAAGATTGTTCAACAACCTACATGTAAAGCATAAAATGAACCCCAGTAAAATGAAATGGGTGAATTGTATTAAACTGGGCTCGAAAGACGCTTTGAGTTAGTTTAAAGTGGCTCGGTTTTATGAATCCCTTAAACTAAATCTTAGAACATTGATGACGATTGTGTCATAACTTGAAGGCAAAATTTCTTCTATATTTCATGTCCAGCCCGTCTACTTATGATCAGGGAAATTGCTTTGACAAGCACTCATTCACTCTGTCCCTCTCTCCCTCTAGACGCTCACACACACACACACACACACACACACACACACACACACACACACACACACACACACGCACAGGCTAAAGTGGTACCCTTCAGACACATTAGACAGAGGGAGGGTGGGGCGCCAGTAAAGATTTCTTAATGGGCTCTGCCTCCTTTCGTCCATCTGCCTTGATGATAAACACACAGCTACTCAACATTAGCCTCCGCTCACCAAAGCCCCTCAGCGTTTTACTTCTCTTTTTCCCCCCCGGCAAACCATCAAATTTCACACTTGTCCACAGGAAGGGGAGCTTCAGAGACCCGGGCCTGACACATGGACTGAATTATCAGGTGTTTTTTTTGTTGTTCTTTTCCTTCAGAGTAATGGAAATGGAAATGACAGGAGCCACACAGTGAGAACTGGGAGGACTTCTTTTGCGCCGGGACTTTCTCTGACGGTGGAATACAACGTTTGGTTTTTCTGGTTTCTGTCAGAGCGCGTGGGGAGTGAACTCTCCGTTACTGTTTACATGTGAATGATAGGATCCAGCTGGTCACAGCCAAGTAAATACCTCAGAGACAGTTGACAATCTGGGAGGAGGATGCCTTCCCTGCATCATGGAGCAATCTTCGTCGGAGCCTTCCTCATCGTGACGGGGGGGTCCACGGCTTTCTTGGCCTCGTACCAGAGCCGCCTGCAGGCTTTCTCGCTCTGCTGCGTGGTGCTGGGGGTGATCATGCTTCTCCTCGGGCTTTTCTGGGCTATGAACAGCAAAAGGGAGCTAGACCCAGAGTGCCCCCATTACTCATACGACTACACCAACTACCCAAGCCATGCCCTGTTCTCCCCCCAAGGGACCCACTTCCCAGAGTCCCAGTCAGTGTTTCTGCCCAGGTGGGTGATGGGGAAAGGAAATGGCCGTAGATTGAACTTGTTTCAAACTATTTAGTCTGCCTCGCTAAAAGAACTTCTTCTAAATCTTGTTGTTATCTACCAGAAAATAGTTAATTTTTTGGCTGGCTTGTTTTAACTAGCCAAAAGAAAAACATTCGGTTGAGCCTTGAAATCTATTTAATCATACAACATGATGTTCTATTACTATTAGTGTCTGCTGTGACGATAGCCAGCCACACACAGACTGAAAAAACAGATGGACGTTGTCACAATTATGTTTGTTGACAGCCATCTTAGAGGCCAAGTCTGTCATTTGCCCTATGCAGTCTTAGCTTTTTATTTATAATACTGCATATTAAGGATCTGTGAAAGAATGTGAGAGGAGTCTGAATGTGCTCTGAGCGTTCAACTGTCAAAGTAACATTCAAACGGTCCAACTGGAGGACTTGTATGAAAATTAAAGGTAAAAGAGATAATGGAGATTGAAGACTTTTAAAGGAACAAAAATTGTTTTTAAAAAACAGGATTTCTGCTGGTAAATGCGTGCATGTTTAGTATTGAGGCCTCTATAAATCTATCATTTTTATAGCTAACCTCAATAGGTCGATTGGGTGTTTGAGGAAGTTCCTTTGGCCTTAATGTTTCATTGCTTTGTTATTGATATCTACATGCACTTACATCTATTTGAAGTTGTTAAAGATAAATGTTTTTCCACTCACAGTGTGGGAACAGTCAACTGAAATATCTAAAAATTATCTTTTTATTAGGATTTCTGATCTTTCTGAGTCCAAATATTGAAACATGACTGAAACATGTTAGGCTAACTGTTAACCCTCAGTGAGGGTTGGTTTACATAAGTGGACCCTTTCAGATAGATGTCATGACATGGGCAAAGTCCAAATAACTGAATGTTTCTGAGAAGAAACTTTGCTCTAGTCTAGCTGCTATTGACATACCTGAAAAAGAGTCAGAATTTACAGGTGTGGCTTTTAGTTTGGTTTGGACAAAAAAGATTCCTCCAATCTATTCCAACTTTTGAGTTATTTCTTGTAGCTTGAAGCTCAACTATATAAATATTGTGTCGCCGTTGGCAAATCATCTATTTCACATCCTTTTGCGTAGAACAAGTAGTAGTTGCTTAATATTTAGGATGTAGACCTGAATTTATGTTATGTTAAGTTACAAGAAATTGTACATATGTTGTGTAAAAATCCAAATATAACAAAGAATGGCAAAGGAGACACATGCTAAGTAAAAAACATGTGTTTTCACCAGGCCAAAAAACATTGATTAGTTCCTTTATCTAGAACGTCCGTCACTGGGCAACACAGAAACAAACAAGACTAACAGACTAACAATCATGCACATGCAGATTCCCTCCTACGGTCCATCTAGAACCCCCAAATAGCCTGACGTGTATTGTTTTTACCTGTTTCTTTTGGCTTTCTCATGACTGTTCTCCTGCTCTATGGGGTGTTTGTTGAGTGCAGGACGATGGAGCGCCACAGGCATGGCCCTCGCGCTGAAGACTTTGACTACCCCCCCATGGACTCCGGTGGTTTTAGTCCGACTCCTCACCCTCCGCCCTGGCTGGGGCCGCCACCGCCCTACGAGGTAGCCATCAAGACCACGTGCAGCTCTACACACCTGCGGCGGGCCTACTCGGACACGCATCTGGCCTCGGAGCCCCTGTTCGGACAGTCCAGAGAGATCAGCTTTGAGGTGTGACGTCGGACGGTGGTGGTACCGCCCACCACACCACGCCAGTCACAAGGCTCGAAGCTGCCGCCAACATTATCCATCAACCCGTGCATGCTTCTGTCTCGGTTCCTGCATGTTTTTTAACCGTTTCAGGAAGTTTTCAGCATTTCCTGAAGGCACTTCCAGTTTAGGTTTAAGTTATGACTAGTTGTGGATTGACATGATGAATTATTTGGTCACCAGGCTCAGCCAGAACAGTTATTTGTACTGCTGAGTCAAGCTAGGACAATTAAAGCTCCATTTGTCAGACGAATCTGTGGTTGCGCAAAGCCATTTATATATGTATATATATATGTAGATTAAGTAAATGCCCACTACAGATTAATACAGAAAATGGATTTTAATATGATGCAAAAAATGGAACTTTTTAGCGTGTACAGAACCCCTGGACTCATAAGTCTAGTGAGATATAATCATGTAGCATTATTTGTTTGCCCCATGGAATTACCAGAGTAGCCAAGCTGGCGTTTGCAAAGCTCAAATTTGTGACTGCGACTAACGTGCGGGTAAAGTAACGGTTGCTTTGACAATATCATTGATTTTTCTTTCTCGTCTCAGTTTTCTTGGTGACTCCCAGCTTTTGATTCACCGTTAAGCTAAGATGGAACTGATACATATGATACACACAGTATAAAGAAGGTTTAAACCACCGACTACATGGTTTCAAGGACTAAATAAAGAATGAATAACGCCTGAAATAAGTGTTCACCGACTACAAATGAGCAGCAGCTACTTAACCTTTAATCTCTCTAGGGATGAAATTACTTTGAACCACCCTGAAAAGATAGTAACTTCTTATTTAGCGGTCAAACAAGTTGGAAGATAATTATATTATATATACTATTTTGACTGGTGACAGTTAATGACAAAGTAACATCATGAAACATAGGAAAGAGGGGTAATAATCAGAGGTTTTGTTTCTAAGCCTTGCTTTCAGCTTGGTAACCCGCCATGGGCTTCTGTTGTAGCAGAGCCACTATGGAAACCGTGGAAATCCGATTTTCCTTCCTTTCCACAGCCCCGGTGCGTGGACAGTGTGTCTCTCTGGGATTCCCTGATGATTGATCCTCTGTTTTACTCGCCTGCCAAACGCTGCCGTTCTTCTCTGGCAGCGGCCAACTCGATACCCCGCGCAAGCCATTGCCTCATTTTTCAGTTTGTGTGGCACACATGGACTCCTGGGCCAGCTGAGAGCTGGGGAACGATGACTCATCTGACCAATGGAGTTTTTTCCATCGCTCAATAGACCACCGCAGCTCACTGGCAGATACCGCCTCAGCTTTTAGTATTACAACTTGGCAGATTATAAACGCATAATGGCTGCATTTTAAAGGATCACATTAGTCTTTTTTTCTTATTTTCATGAATTTTTAACATTCTCCCTCTCCTTTCGAAGCCCCGTGTGAAATACTTAGTGACCAAGTGGCCTTAAACATGTTTCTCTTTCAATGTGGAGCAACTTGGATCCACAGCTGTCAAAAGTTTAGTCGTGGTCTGACCGCATATATTCCAGTGTGATTTGTTAATTGTTTTTTTGTGAGTCTGTTTTTTACCCTGAAAAATGGCACAAAGCGAAAGGGCAAAATTGTCTGTAAAAACGAATTATACATTAAAGCTGATAGAGTACTCATTAATGCGGTTTACTTAGGCATGTCTGTGGCCTCTGCAATTATTTGAGACAAATAGAATCATTTACAGTTTGTGTTATTGCTAACACGTTCATTTACAAGTAACATGGGGCTGTTTAGGGGGAAGTAGCTAACACCCGGCACTCTGATGATCCCTGACAGTAAAAGCACAAGTGATTCCAGTTCAGGATGAGTCACAATAATCACAGGTGATCCAAGGCTGCTCAGCATTTTATCTCTGCATTTGCATGCAAACCTGACGGATTGAAAAACTGTGTTGGTTGCTCTGAGTGTATCTCAAGCTCTCTTCAATAAAACAAAGCTGCAGGAAGGAGCTGGATGGCTGTCAGCGAAGCTGATTGGAGGTCTGCACCAGGTGAATTCAGAGTGCCAATCCTGACACTCGTTCATGTTTTTAATCAGCAGGAGGAACGCTGGAAATGACTGCTGGTGAAATTAAAAGAACACCGGTCTATTTCTGTCCAGATGAAGAGATTTGAAATGCTTACAGACTGAATATGAATCAATGGGCCAAAACATGAGCTCTGAATATGACCAAGTCAACCAAACCAAAAAAAGAAAGTTTATGTCAACAATTCTATCTCTATTTTTTTGGTCCCTTTTTGCTGATGACATACATTTGATGACATATCTAAGTAATCATGCATATCTGTGCTGAGTTTCTGTCCCACTGTTTTGTCTCGTCTATCTCTTTGTAATTATTTTGCACATGTTTGTCTCAAGCTGGCGCTACTTTTGTTTTTCTTTATTGCCACTGTGCCCCAACTGATTATTGAGCATGTTTTTCTAAATCATTTTTCGTACCTTTTTATCTTCTTGAAGCCATTCCACGTGTCTCTTTGCTGTGTTGTATCTCATTAAAATTGATTTGGGTCTAGTTTTTGTATCTTTATGTTGCCATTTTGTTGTCTCTGCTGTCAGTTTCTATCTTCCTTTCAAGTTTGAAAGTCTTGAGAAACCCTTGTAATCTATTTATTTTTTATATTTTGTTTCCAAGAAGCTGGACTGTCTGTACAAGATAGTGTGCAAAGTGACCTAAAAAAAAGAACGGAGGAAACTGAGTGGAAGGACACAGGAAGCAGTTCCATTTTTCTGTCACACACACACGAGCAGGGCCTGAAAGGGATGACCCTCGCAAATAGGACCGGACACAGGCCTTTAATGTTGCATTGAGTTTGGTTCAGATCCAACCATAAAACCTCTTTAAACATAGACATCTACAAGCCAGAGAGCCATCCAAATGAACACAAGTCAACTAACTCCCACCGAAGGTTTTTTTTTAGATCCCAGAATATGAGTTTCATAAAATTATGGGTGACGAGGATAAGGGCAAATTGTTCTGATGAACGAGGCTAAGAGTCTTTACCAAAAGCAGGTGATGCATTCATGTGTTTCAATCACAAGATGTTTATGACGAAAGGATCAAAATACAGGAAACTGAGCACTATTCAGCTCAGCCTGGAAGCTTAAATGACTCAGATAATCAACTGAAAGGCATGCAGAAGGGATGCAAGAAAAAAAAAACACTGCATAAACAAATGAGGCACCAAAAAAACAAAAAGCTGGGAAAGAAGAATCTCAAATTCAAGGTCTTTTAATAATCTGCTTAAACTGAAAAAAAGACTATCTCTTAGGGCTAGGTTAGGATTTCTCCTAATCTGGGAAGGACTGCTTTCTGGTATGCTGTGTCATTGGTCAGATATTTATGTGCTATGACAATTTCCCCGGAGATCTAAAGAATCCCGGGCAAAAAGTAACTGGCCATGAGAACTAACTTTGCTCATGTCACAGCCATCACCACAGCACAGCGTTCCCCTGACAAACGTTATTCCAGGCACCGTTTTATGTTACAGAGAAACGAACAGACTCAGAGAAAAACATGTTTAAAAAAGCAGGGATCAGGATAAATTATTATTTAAAGAGTTGAATGTCTGTTAGGGGGTACATGTCTGGGATAGATGTGTTGAACAAGCAGCAGATAAGAAACATGTATCTGTAGGATTAATACAACTCCCTATTGAAATATGTCAAAGGAGGAAATGTGCATGGGATGAAGTCCTCATTTGGGCCTTTTACAGAGACAGAGGCCTTCAGGCAACAGGTATGTGTGTCATATATGATACGGTTCCTGAATCTGACACTTTTGCAGACTTTAATGTTCAAACCTTTGCTCAAAACACTGTTGTAAACAATCACATATACCCGATAACAGTGGGAAGAAGACTAAATTAATTTGTATTTGTTGTTGCTTTCATATTTTAATTAAAGTGCCAAATAAATAAATAAAGAATAAAGCAAGAAGAAAAAAACTATTTATCTTGGATGAGGCTTTAAAGAGTTTAAAGACAAATCAGCTATGTTTAATCGGCTTGAGGTGGGGTCAAACTTTTATGTATGAAATCATTTTAAACGTAGTTGGAAGCTGGGCCGGGATGGTGCTTCACCCCCCCCCCCCCCCCACCACCACCCTTCCCCCCCAGACAGCTCTTCCAAACACAGTCCCAGTGACACTGTTCAGGACGCGCAAACGCCCTGCCCTCCATTCCTCGTCACCGAAACCCTTCCTCAGGAAAAAAAAACAAAAAAGGATGTGTGTCTGTGTGTGTGTGTGTGTGTGAGAGGGGGGGGGTGGGAGAAGAGCACTTCCTCACAGCGCGCGTCCCTGCAGCGGCTGCTGGGACCAGATGAGACCCGCAGCAGAAACCAGTCCGGTTCCGGTCCAGTAGCGGTCAGAACTTCTAACCCCATCTACCCCCAAAAACTGGGGAAAAAAGGGGGGAGAAAGAAAACTGGATGTGAGAGTTGTGCTCGGAGAGAAGGAGGACGGGCTCATCATGAGGAAGGCGCGGCGGACTGGCGGGACGGACCGTCCCCCGGTGTCCAGGCCGAGCGGTCATCCCGGGGCCGGCCGGAGTTGATGTGAAGGAAAAGAGAGGAATGGTCAAGCCCCCGGCCGGACCGTCCGCCGATCAGCTCCCCCCCGCGATTTTTCCTGTCAGGTTAGGGGAGTGGATCCGTGTTTCGGGGCGACGCGCACGCGCGCGCTCGCAGGAAAGGATTTACATGTTGCGCATCGTCTGGGTGTTTTCATTTCAGAAGAAGACCTTTTCACTTCCACGCACTTTTCAGCGTTCCTTTCTCTGTGTCCCCCCCCCTCCCTCCCTCCTCCCCCCCAGAAGCTGTAGCTGGGAGGCGTGGACGTGGACCCCCGGGGCGCGTGCACACCCCCCTCTCCCCTACCCTGAGATGACCCTCCACCACGGCACGCTGCTGTGTCTGGGGGTCGTGCTGACGGCCACCGGGGGGGTCATGGTCTTCGGCCTGGGCATGGACCACCCCAGCGTCCCGCTCTTCGTGGTGGGCATCCTGCTGGGCCTGGGGGGCGTGGGCCTGCTGGTCAGCGGGCTCAGCATGGCCATGAAGAACCTTCAGGTGGCCGTGCCGGGTCACTTCCTGTTGCACCCCCGCACGGGCACGCGCTTCAACCCCCAGCAGGCCCTGGCCATACAGAGGTACACGTTCCTGTAGGCGGTGTGTCACAGAGGCAGGCGGGGGGGCGGTGGGGGGGCTCACAGAGTCAGAACGATGGGATTGAGCACGCCGTTCCGAGGCTGTGACCCTCAAAAGTTTCCCATCGTGGGGCCACAAACAATTCCAAACGCGAGAAACTTAAAAGGAAAGGGCTCCCGAGTATACGAAGGGAAAAAAAGAAAGGGCGTCCTTGCTTGCAGCTTGTTGGGGCTGTCCCCGGTCCCAGGTGCTACGGTCAGCGTGCTAACATGCTTACTCAGGCCGTGGTCAGCAGGCGTGTGGAACATGTAGGCCGTCTGAAATTACACCGATAGGACTCTACAATGTGCCAGTTAGGCCTTGACCAGCGCACACAGCTGGATCTCCGGAGGGGTCATCCTCAGGGGGTCAGGTCCAGATCAGAGTTAAACCATCGGGACACTCGTTCGTGGCCACAACGTGCACCTCAGGGCGTCTGCACAGAGTTTAGTGGCGATCCCTTTTTACGGCCGCCGCCTCTGTCTTTTTTTTTTTTTCCACAGAGGGGAGGCAGGAAACCCCCCGGCAAAAAGAGAGAACGACCGGCTCTCTATCCGGATCGAGCGGGCTGTTTTTCGGGCTCCCCTTTTTTTCCGATTGAGTAAAAAGCAACAGATTATCTGATAGTGGGCCAGCGTTCCGAAGTAGGTCACGGAGACGACAGCAGACACGTGCACGAGGCGGACAGACTCCTGCCTGGACGGATCTGGGATAGAACGCACATCGCCCTGCGCTGGGGAACCCAGATGTCAAGAGTAGAGTGTTCCCTGTCATAATAATGATAGTTATAATAACAATCACGGCTTTTTCTATCCCCAGGGATTGATTAGTATTTCTTAAACTTACCTTACTTTTACAAGGATAGGATGCCGGATACAATACACAGGATATAAAGTTCAAACATGAAGACATTTTAGAGGTCAGTTCAATATTTTAGCCTTGTAGGGGTCTAAAGTAAGAGAAAGGATTATTATTGGAGGGAAGCTATCAGTCCAAAAGAGACTTTGGGAGTAGGGACGACATACGTTTGTTTTGCATTTTCATACACTGTGGAACACAAGTGGAGACTAAAGTGCGTCGAAAGGTGCTGACGGTTCTAGCAAAGATCCAAAGTGTAATCACCGGAGAGCACTTTTAAGCATTGGCTGAGCTGTGATGAACGAGATCTGGACGGCCATACGAAAGCAGAGCTGACATTTAACAGGCGTCGAACAAAAGACCAGCCAACTTGGGGATAAGCAAAGGGAAGATCTAAACTGTTTATTGGGGAGATTTAATGACAAAAATAAAAGAGTTGTGGTGCACAGAGGAGTGTGCAGTGAGACGGTCAAGAGGTGTAAAATGTAAATGCTGTAAGGATTTGAAAGGAGGAAAACAGTAAAGTGTGTGTGTGTAAGTCATTTAGTCTTCTGCTACACTTAACCTCTGTTGATAACCTTAAAAAAGAGTCTTGACACCTGTGTGTAGTTTAATGAAAAGTGGATTTAGGGAAATGGAGAGAAAGTATGGAAGGTTAAGGGTGGCAGAAGTGGAACTCGACTAACACACAAAAGAAAGTTTGGCAGGATTTCTCGATATTTTCTTTCCACCTCTCCCCTAAAGTGTCTTAAGCTCGGCTTACTAGAAGGTGTGAACACCGTCTGACCGCCCCGTGCGTCCTGTCCGCAGGAGGCTGGACCGGATCCGTCGGGAGATGTCGGCCGACTCCGTGGGCGGGACGCCGGACCCCGAGGCCTCCCTGCCGTCCACCCCTCCGCCCTGGACCATGGAGCCGCCCCCGTCCTACGACACGGTGATGAAGAGCCAGGAGCAGAACCAGCAGCTCTGACCTCCCCCGCACAGCCCAAAACTCACACCAGTGCCTTTGCTCTCCGGCTCTCAGCGGAGGGCGGACATTCCTGCCGTTGTGGGTCACTTCTTTGCGTTAGCGCTGACACTGCTGGGACTTTTTATTTTTGCTCAGGCCTCCCGTGTCAGTTTAAGCCACCAAACAAGGGAAAATGAGAGAGCAGGAGAAGGATTTCAACTACTGACGGACGGTTTGAGGGGGAAAACGGTTGAATCTGCTCCTGCCACCTGTTCCCTTGAGCTATAGCTTCACACCCACTCTGAGGATCCATTAATGTGTCATTCAGGGCGGCAGTGGGTCCGCTGTTACACTAATTTGAATGTTGTTTTCACTTCCTTGTTTTCATTTGAAAAGAAAAACCTCTTTCGCGCATGA